GTTTTCATATTTCCACGTTTGCCAGGTCCCTGCCTGGAAACCTGAGTTCACTGGCGTTGCCTTTCCATTTGGTTCCCGTCATGGTTTAGCTGCCTGCTGGCCACCCGGTATCACCTGGCTGCCTGCTTCAGTGATGTTCAGGGATCTAGGTGGACCTCTAATCCCCTCTCAAGGTGTTCTCAGTTTGCTTGTGGATGCCTGAAATTTCTTGTAAGCAGATGAAAACTTTGTGTTGTACGACCAGATAGAGTCCTAAATATATGCCCCCAGGCAGAAGGATACCTGAGTGTAAGTTTGAAACTAAATGGTAAATGACTGGACTTTGAGCCTAACCAGAGAGCAGATCTGAGTGGTGCCAGGAGAGAAAACACTGGAGCCAGGAGAGTAAAGCATACCCTGTGAAAGCAGAGTCTGGCTGGGAAGGGAGAGTTATGACAACTGACAAGATTTATCACTGCAGCAGTTTTGCTAAGAGCTGGGCCTGCTGCTGTGAGCAGGAAATGGAGAGAAAGGCAGAGTGCCCTTCCACTCGGAGGTTTAGTGCTTCTGCAAGGGGATTTCCACAAGTGTCACATAAAATGAATTTGAGGTCAACTCCCAGAGGCAAAGGCTGCAGGTGGAGATGGCCCAGGTTGCCTTCCTGTGGCTGTAACAGATCGGCAGTCATCCTCACTGCCCATCCATTGCCCATGCTCATGTCTTCACAAGGCTTTGGGCCACAAGAATAAAGGGCCACAGGGCTGTGTGGGAGCATTTGGGTAATCTTTTCAGAGGAAGTGACATGGTTGTCAGTTGGGCAAGAACTTTGTCTTTCTTTGACATTCTGGGGAGGTGACATCATCCCTTGACTCCCTGGGCATTTTCTTCCTTGGGACCCATTTCTTGTTCCAGTGTCCCACCCTAGTCCTTAAGCTAGGAAGATTTTTTTTAAAAACTGCAAACTTAACACAACCATAACTTTGGAAGTCAGACAGTGGAGGAATTTGCACTGGAAAATTGGCCACTTACTTGTCCTGGGACAGAAAAGACATGATCTGATGAGCTGTCAGTCTCCTTAAGACTCCTTAGTCGTTTTTTCACCAGTAGTCCAGTGACAAGTGGACCGGTTCTGGTGAGTTCTGGTCCAGCTTCAGTGGACAGCAGGCTGGCCCGAGGGGAATGAGACCATGGCAGAGTAGAGAGACTATCGGCTGGGAGAAAGGAGGCCTGGGTTCTTCCAAGCTCTGAGCTAGTTATTTTATTACCGGGGCTCTGTATTAGATTCCTGGGGCTGCCGTAACAAAGTACTGCAGACTGAGTGACTTACACAACAGAAATGTATTGTCTCGCAGTTCCTTCTGAGGGCTGTGAGGGAGAAGAATCTTCCAAGCCTCTCTCCTGCCTTCGGGTTGTTTACACATAACCTTGGTGTTCCTTGGCTTGTAGATGCATCATTCTGATCTCTGTCTTCCTCTTGAATCAGCATTCTCCCTTTCTGTGTGTCTCTGTCCAAATTTCCCCTTTTTATAAGAACACCAGTTCATACTGGAATGGGGCCCACCCTAACGACCTCATCTTACCTTGATTATCCACAAAGACCCTATCTCCAAGTAAGGTCACGTGCACAGGTACTGATGGTTGGTATTTCACTACCTTTCTGGGGAGACAGTTCAAACCGTAACAGCTTCTGTAAATTTTGCCCTGTAACGTTGGAGGGTGTGATGAGGCTTGCTCTTAATGCATCAGAATCACCTGGGGAGACACTCCAAAATACACATGTGGTCTCCAACACAAAGGTTCTGATTTCTTAAGTTAGGGGTGGCCTAAGCATGTGTATTTTGGGAGTCCTCCCACCGTGATTCTGGTGTGCACACAGACTGGCCACCGGAGCCTTTGCATTTGTGGAACCCCGTGGCTCTCTGGTACTGTGTGTGGCTGCATGCTCATCTCTGAATCCTGACACCTGATGGTGAAACTTCCAGGAGACCGAGCATGTTCAGAGGGCCAGGCTGGGGCCTACCACGCATTGCCCTGAAAGGCTGGGGGCCAAAACAATCTCATCCTTACCCCTCAGCCAGACATTAATTTATTCCACCCTTTTTGAGCCACTGGGACCACAGAGATGAAAGGCATTGCCCCTACGCTTCGACTTACAGTCTACAGGTGAGACAGATAATGAATACTCTAATAAGAGAATTGCTTTAATCAGCACCAGCCATAGATTTAGGGAAAAGAGGCCCCTGCCCCGGGCTCCACTTCTGCTCCCGCATCCCCTCCTCACTGGGCAGGGCTGAGGGCTGGGCCTTTCCCTCTAGGCCATGCTCCAGATACTCAGGATCCTGGATTTCCTGCCCACATGATTTCCAGCTGATTCCAAGGCCTGCACGGGGGGGCCTCTTCCCCAGGTGTGTTTCTCAAGGGCCAGCCTTGCTGCCGATATGCTCGCCTCTAACCTCAGAGTGGCCAGGTGGCCGCTGTTTGCGGGGATGGACATGTGTGCATGGAGCTTACTGTGCAGACTGGGGTGTCCATGTGGGCCCAGAAGGATGTGCGTGGGAAGAGACAGGGGCCAGGGCTGGCTCCCACGGCACCATGTTCTGGTGCTTTCCAGGTCATTGATGAAATTGTGTTGTAAAGGCAGGAGGATAGAACAAAATTTGTGTAGCACCTTCTTACACGTTGCTCATAACGTTGAGATGTTTAGAAACGTGGCAGGTGGGCCTCTATTTGTATTTTGGGGCCCCCAAATTTTGGGCTGCAGGATTATGACGAAGGTACGTTTAAAGAACAGCAGAAACATGCATTATTGAGGCTGGAGAGGGGTGGCTTATTACTTCCTGTGCCCTTTCAAACCAGGCTTAGCAGAGAGAGTGTTTGGAGGTGCTATATTTGGTGCGTGGACCAGCTGTGGCAGGTTAAGTGCCAAGTTTTGTTTCTGGTGGCTAGAATATTTAAAATATTTCTCTCCGTGAACAACTGGTCGTCTCGGGTGTGTGTGTGTCTGTGTCCTTCTGTCTGTGTGGATAAGGTCGGGGAAGATATTTTATTTCTCGTTCCTAGAGTTAAGGATCGCATAGGCTCCGTCGTATGCAGGAGAGTAGAAGTGAGGGGAAGAGTTCATTGCCAAGGCTGACCTTTTCCATGGAGAACTGTTTTGCAGCGCCAAGAAAAACCCACTGTGAGCTCAGCTGGGTGCAGAGCGTGGCAGCCCTCCTCACGTTTCTTGGAAGGAGTATAAGTAATTTGAGACGAAGGAATTCCGATTGTTTTAAGCCTGAAAGCCAAAATGTCCACGCCATTAGCAGCCCAGAAGGGTGCAACTAATAGATCCCCTCAGTTACCTTTCAGGATGCAGATCGAACTTGCTTCACTGAAGTAGAACCAAGGATGGTAATGAAGGAAGTGGGGAAAGGGATGAGCTGCCTTCCACAAGTGCTCCGGCAGTGACGGCATCTCATCTCCCCTCACTGATTGCCGTTTAAGGCCAGCGCCGCCATGTTTATGACCTTGTTAGCCCAGGAAGCCTTCTGGGGTGGGGGAGCGCGAGGTGTGAAAAGGACCTGAGGTGCCCCCTGGTGTTCTGATACGTTGATGGCAAGGTGAAAGTTACCTCCAATGAAAAAATAGAAGAAGCCTCTAGATAAATACTGGTAGGAAATGATTACCGCTGCTGTCCTCAGTCAGCCAGGATTAATGTAGGTCCAAATTCTTGCAGAAGCTTAAGATTTCCACCTGTGTTTGTCCTGCCAGTTCTCCTTGGGGAAGTGCCCCTTTCCAGGAGGGGCTGTATCCCTCAGGGTCCTGCTGAGGAAACGAACATTGCTGAATATTTAAAACAGGAAATTTAATACAAGGCATTGTGACACAGCTGAGACACCGGATGGAATACCGAGGGACCCCAGAGATTGGCAGCAGACAACCCACTCCCAAAGGGGAGGTTTCCAAGGCCTGGGATCACTCTGTGAGCTGGCACCAAGACCATGCAGGCCAAGGCAGAGGGGGTCTGGGAGAACTACTCTGACTACACCCAGGGCCACCTCCCCCACTGTCTTCCCATGTCCCACCAGTGACCCCATTGCCCAAACCCAGCCAGAAACCAGCCTGGGAAGTTGAGCCTGCCGGGGGGGTGGGGTGGGGGGCTTGGGATAAGAGCAGAGCAGGGGAAGGATGAGCCACTGCATCTGTGCGCATACAGGCCTGGGATCTGCCCTGGGTCGAAGGAGTGATTTCGATTCTGCTAGCTCTTGGCCAGCGCCTGGCCCTACCCACTGCTTTTGCTGAGCCCGCCTTCCTGGCCTAGCTCTCGTTCTGGATTCCCTGTCGCTTGAGTTGGTCATAAATACGCTGAGGTTGGAGTTACGGTAGAACTGGAGCTGTTTGCAAGCCAAAGGAACAAGTGGTTATGTGCACAGACATGGCTGCAACGTCCTTCCTCCTGTGGCTCTCTGAAAGATGCTGGTAGTTACAAAGTGGCTGAGAAGGTTGAAGGGCTGAGGGAGTTACGGGTTGCAGCTGACTGCAGGGTGAACTTGGATTGCCCGGTTCTCTCGGAAGGTGAGAATTAAAGGGAGGGCCTTGGTTGGCAGAGAAGAGTGGAGTGGATTTTCCCAGAAGGGGAGCTGTTCCTCCAGTGCTTGGAAGTGGGGAAAGGTGACTTGTATGTGGGTGCTTCGGGCTATTATGAACCAGGCTGGGGCCAGAGGTGGCAGGGGGGTGGGAGAGGCTGTTGAAGCGGGGAGCTTTTGACTTGGAGGCTGGGCTTGATGGCAGAACATGTGGTGCCTTGTACTGGTGCTTGAGGGTTGTAAGGACCCCAGTTCAGTTTTTGCACCTGGATAACAACCCATGCCTCCATTTCCTCAGGGACTCACCTGTCTTTGGAACCCCTGGCCCAATCCCTAAGAGAATCCAGGGACTGAGGGACATACACTTCCTTTGTGTCCTTTCCACTTGCTCCAAACTCTAGAAGTTCTACCCAAATCACGTAACGAGCCAAGGACTTCTTTTCCCTTTTGCAACAGGTGGATCTCGAGCGAAGCTTCACATTTCGGAACTCGAAGCAGACCTACTCGGGGATTCCCATCATTGTGGCCAACATGGACACCGTGGGGACGTTTGAGATGGCAGTGGTGATGTCACAGGTAGGACGGTGGGCTTTTTGCCTCTGAGAAGCACACTGGACAGGTGGTCAGTAGCCCACCCTGGACTTACTCAGACACAGGGAAGAGGAGAAAAGTGAGACACTTCAGGTCATTCGCTGTGGCCGAACTATTTGGTTCTGAGTCTGATTGTTGCTACAGGCACTTCTTTTTCTCTCTTCCATCAGAAGGTGGATGGAGTCTGGACTTTGCCTTCAGGGAGATGGTCTAGACCTGCATCCATTTCTTTCTTGAAAATGCTCGTGATCCTTTTGGAAATTAGAGACACAAAAAGAAGTTGGACATTGTGCCATATTATACAGTTGGATGAGTGTTGTATTAATAGAAGAGTGACAGCACCTTTAAAATGAAGACAGAACCTCTTCGTCTGTTCTGTAGCATTTATTACATCATTATGGAGAAAACTTAGATGCCAAGCACTGATTGTAACGTGTATGATGTGGTCACAGCTCATACAGGTGGGTTCCTTATACAGATGAGGAAATCGAGGCAGAGAAGGAGAGGAGAGGTCACTTGGCTCAAGGCATTTAGGCAGGTAGTCACTGAGCCAAGATTTCAAACCCAGACTGACTCCAGAATAAGGGATTTGTCTCCCAACTTACACCAACAGATACTAGTACAAGCTCAGGGTCCCTTGAACCAGCTGCTGTCTCATTGCCTGTGAAGGGAGTAGCTAGTGCCCTGGCTTTAGAAAAATAAAAACAAAGTTATTTGCGGGCAAAATCTTCATCTCACACATCTGTGTCTGCATTTGTGTCCAAGGTTCGGTGCGTTTATTCATCATAAATGTGAAATGTCTGCTTCTGATGTACAGACTATGTGCACCTATTTCCGTAGCTAATGCCTGCCAAGTGAAAAGATAAATCCAATTAGTTGAAAGAGCTTCTTGCTGTGGACAGCATGTCTAACCTCAGGAGGTGCTGGGATTCATTATTACCCCGTGATTAGAAGGGAGATTTTCAAACAAATTATGAAGTCACAAAATGGAGTGGGGGGTGGTCTGTCTGAGTCCAGGATCAGTTGCCTCGTCTGTCCGCCCTTAGCCCCCAGTGAGCTTTGGGCCAGAGGCTAATAAATTAATTGCAAAAGGAATTTGTATTTTTTGCTCCCTATCTTCTCCTCCCTCTGCTGTGATCAGCCGTGGCTACTAATGAATTGCGTGTTTGCGTAAAAATGCATGGAATCGGGGCAATAAATAGCCCTGATGAATTCACATATCAGATTAGTAGTCCGTGAAGAACGGAGAACTTGCTGTGCTCTTCCCATTTGCACAGGAAAGACTCCCCATGAATGAGACAGTATGCACTGAAATAGCTAATCATGTGTGGGTCCACGAATCTTCCATTTCTAAGATCCACTGAGTTAGTGTCTTGCATTAATAAAGTCGTAGAATTTTAGGAGAGGGAACTGAGAGAAGTTAGGAGCGAGGGGCCCTGATACAGGAGGAGGAGCCTGGGTTCCGCATTCAGATTTGAGTGTGATTCTGGCCTTCGCCCCTTTTTGGCCAAGCGATTGTTAAATTTCTTAACCTTAAGTTTCTTAAGCCCCATCTCTGCCCGCGAAACTACTATTGCTACACAAAGTCCTGAGAAGCACATGAAATAACGTATGCGAAGCGCTTGCACAAAGTAGGTGTTCAGTAAACGCTTGCTGGGTTGATGGTCATAGATTTAGAATTATGATTTATGTACTTCCCTCCCTCAAGAATACCAACTACCTGATGGGTTTAGCTTTTAGCAGGAGATGTTTAGATTGTGAACCCAAAGAAGAGCTTTCAGGTAGAAGTTGAGCTTCTTTGGAGTTGACTAAGCATAACTTTGCCCTCAGGCTGCCCTGCTGACGGGCAGGGGACCAGCGCTCTGTGCTGCTCTCGGCCTCAGTGGAGTGTGGGCTGCCCAGGGCTCTGAGAATTCTCCCTTACTCCACCCCCCTGCCTCCTGGCATTGCCTCCTAAATCTTGAATGCTGAGTTGTCTGATCAGATTAGAGTGGAAAACACGGTTTCGTGATTTCCCTAGTTACACTTTCATCTGTTTGGGCCTCCTAGGAGCATATTCAAAGCAAATTAAGCCTGAAGGGCTGGAACACCGGATGCTTTTGTATTGGTGGATCACCCTTGTCATATGGAGGAAGGGGGAGTGGAACTCCCTTGACTTCTCATCCTAATGGTGCTGTTTTATTTCCTAGCACTCCATGCTTACAGCAATTCACAAGCATTACACCCTGGATGACTGGAAGCTCTTTGCCGCTAATCACCCAGAATGTCTGCAGGTATGACTCCACCCTGGTTATAAATTACATTTGTTGCAGGGGGAAGAAAATATTTTTTTTTCAATTTTTGTTTTATTTATTTAATTTTTTTAAACATCTTTATTGGAGTATAATTGCTTTACAGTGGTGTGTAGTTTCTGCTTTATAACAAAGTGATTCAGCTATACGTATACATATATCCCCATATCTCCTCCCTCTTGCGTCTCCCTCCCACCCTCCCTATTCCACCCCTCTAGGTGGTCACAAAGCACCAAGCTGATCTCCCTGTGCTATGTGGCCACTAGCTATCTATTTTACATTTGGTAGTGTATATATGTCCATGCTTACTCGGAAGAAAATCTTTAGGGTTGTCAAAAGGATTTGAATTGGCAGCAGATAGACACACAGAGTCCTAAGGAGAAACTGGGGGAAGGCAGTAGTGGTCCCCCAGCCGTTGATCATTGCCAAGAATTTGCCAAGGAAGCCTGTACTGTATTCTTTTTTAAAAAACATTAGGATTTACCTGCAAGGAATATCTTTTTTCCCTTGAGAAGTGAAGTGTTCTATCATGAGAACTTGCAGAGGACCTGGCAGTGTTTCCTTCCGGGGAACGGGTCCGTTCTAAACGTGCCTTTTGACCAGAAAAGTTACCTAATTATAGCAAGTTATAATTGGAGCTGAATATAATGGAGCGGAATAAACAGCATGCCCTCTAGGATGGCTTTAATCAAAAAGACAGATAATAAAAAGTGTTGGCGTGGATGTGGAGAAATTGGAGTCCTCCTACATTGCTGGTGGGAATGTAAAATGGTGCAGCTGTTGTGGAAAGTAGTTTGGCAGTTCCTCAGAAGGTTCAACATAAGAGTTCCCATATTACTTAGCAATTCTGTTCCTAGTATAGACCCAACAGATACAGAACTGTATGTTCACACAAAACCTTGCACACACATGTTCACAGTAGTATCATTCATGGTAGCCAAAAGGTGGAAACAACCCAAATGTCCATCAACTGTTGAATGAATAAACGAAATCTGGTATATCCATACAATGGAATATTCATCAGTGAAAGGGAATGAAATATTGATTCATGCTACAACATGGGTGAATCTTAAACATTTTACCAAGTGAAAAAGCCAGACACAAAAGGCTGTGTACATGATTGTGTTTACGTGAAATGTCCAGAATAAGCAAACCTGTAGAGACAGAGACAGAAAGTAGATTAGTGGTTGCCTAAGGCTGTGGGATGAGAGGTGAGGGCTAAAGGGTGTGGGAATTTCTTTTTGGGGTGATATGTTCTAAAATTGATTGTGGTGATGGTTGCACAACTCCAAAAATACTAAAACCATTGAATTGTGCACTTTCAAAGGTGAATTGTTTTTGACTATATCTCAGTAACACTGTTACTGAAAAAAAAAAAAAGCAGTTTGAAAATAACAAAAGTCCGGGTAGAACACACCAGACTTTGATCCTGGCACACTTCAATGGTTCTGCGTCAATGCCATAGAGGAATCTCTGCATTTAGATGCTTTTCTACATGGTGAGATCATCTGTGATTGGAAAATGACTTCCTATTGTACTGCTTTTGAAGTTACACTGGCTTCTTTTTTTTCTTTTTTTTTTCTGTGCCTTGACTATGTGTGGATTTTGATTGGGGACAAGGTGGTTTCAGAGATAAAATAGTTCTGGCTCACTAGTGGGTCCTTCCTTTTTGCCATATTTTATTCTAATGGATTATCTCTGGTTCACCTTCTTCCCCTCTTCTCTGGATGAAGTTTGGGGAGCATGAGTTTCCAGCAGTGCATGATTCATCAGAACCTTGGCTTTTTCATTACCAAGTGTCCTCATTTCACTTACTGCCCCACTCGCACCAAATTAGAGCTCGTTAAAAAGGGAACATGGTACAAACTCAGTGGCACAGAGGGAAACTAACCAATCTTGAGTTTCACCTGCTAAACTGTAACAGAAATGAAGGAGAAAATAAAAATGGTAGCAGAACTCAGTGGGAGGGAAAGAACGTGTGGATTTGGGGCACAGGTCAGACCGTAAACAGGAGGAGTGAAAATTGGAGTGAATATGTATCACGTTACCAGTCTGCTTACATTCAGTATCTGAGTTGTAGCTACACTGTTGTGATTTGGGGGGAATAGCAAAGGATTTTCAGATATGTCCCTCGTCTGTGGCTTATAGTTTAGAAATATGAGTTAGAATATAAACATTATATAAATTTATAAAATATAAATATCTCATGAAAGGTGAGATGCCGACTCTGGCCACAATCCCATGGGTTAGTTTTGTTGAGGCATAAATTACTACAATCCAAAGAGCAGATTTTGAGCGGAGCAGTGGGGTGGGTTGGAGAGCGCCAGTGCTGAGGAGCTTGGGGGAGAGGGTGTCACGGAGGAGACTGTGCTGGCTTCAGGTGTAAGCACGTCCCAGTGCCGATGGGGAGGATCCTTTCGGGGCTCATTCATTCTCGCACTTTGGGACATTTTGCCTCTAGAATGGAGACGCTAAGACTGGCGGCAACCGGTGCAGGTTACGATTTGCATGTTGCGATAATGTTGCATCGGGAGTGAAAAGGAAAACAGGAAGGGGTTTTATCAGAGGGGTTTTAGACATCTTTCCCTCCTTCCTGCCGCCTAAGTGAGATGCTCAGGGTGATGGCCACGGCTTTGGCACGGGAACCTGAGCAGACCAGCCACCCTGGCTCTCTTTACCTCTCCTCTCCTCCTGGAGGAGAATTTGCACCAGCAGCTCCACGGTTCCGAGTTCCACGTGGAGAGCTTGAGGAAATGAAACAAGAGCCAGGCACGAGATTGTGTGGCTGAGGTCCAGGGCTCAGGATATGTGCAGTTTAATGGTGGGACAGACGGCAGAGTCAGTTCAGGTAACTGAAGAAGTCAATCTCCTTTACCTCTGCTGCTGCATGTTTCTTGAGCCGGTCCACTGTGTGTCTGTCTGATCAGGGTGAACCTCGGAGGGTCACGGTGCTGTGCCCAGAACAGGTGCGTGGATGGAGGCAGGGTTACTGTTCGTGTCTTACGCCTCTTGGTTTGTTTGGTACAGCATATAGCTGTGAGTTCGGGCAGTGGGAAGAATGATCTGGAAAAGATGAGCAGCATCCTGGAAGCCGTGCCGCAGGTCAAGTTTATTTGCCTGGATGTGGCCAATGGATACTCGGAACATTTTGTGGAATTCGTGAAGCTCGTCCGGGCCAGATTTCCAGAACACACCATTATGGTAGGTATGGTGGGACGACCTCCTCTGGATGGGGAAGCAGAGAAGACGTGTGTGGGGTGTCGGGGGAGCTGTGTTCTCTTCGTAGCTTTTGGTTTCTCCTTCTTAGCAGACTAGTTGAGAATCAGCAGGAAAAGGAGAGGCAGCAGTTATGAAGATCTGAAAACTGGCTCTGCTCTAAAAATATACATATAAAATCCAGATCAATGCCATAAGGTCTTCGTCTCTGCTAAATATCAAGTGTTTCTTACCATGTGAGACCGTTAAACCAAGGTCTGTGTCACTGCTTAACAAAGGGTATATTTTTAAAAATGAAAACGTAACTGGCTTTCTGTTTAACATATTTATGTCATCTCTGCCCCAGTCTCCTCGCCAGTAGAAAACTCTGCTGTAAGAGTTGAAATCCACAATGTGAACACTTCAGAATAGTCAACAATTATTTGCACATCAGTTGGTGTCTGGTTTTATCTAACATCTTTATGTTTGACTTTTCCTGCCTTTTGGGGGGTATTTTCCTAATTTTTAACACCTTCGCTAGTTCGAATGTATATCTCTTGTTGCTGGGAAACATAGATTTACAGAAAAATGAACTAGAAGCTTCAGGGTTAAATTTGGGCTTTTGGGAAATCTATATTGTAATTGTGTGTCTTTACTAGTCTTAATTAACATAGCAATTATTGATTGACCCCTAGATAATTTACCTAACTCTCCTTCTACAAATTTTTTTGAACCCAGTTTTCTCTTTCTTTTCTTTTTTAACTTTGTTTTATTGAAGTGTAGTTGATTTACAATGTATTAATTTCTGCTGTACAGCAAAGGGATTCAGTTATATATACATATATTCTTTTTCATATTTTCCGTTATGGTTTACCACAGGATATTGAATATAGTTCCCTGTGCCGTACAGTAGGATCTTGTTGTTAATCCATTCTGTATATAAAGTTTGCATCTGCTAATCCCAAACTCCCACTCCAACCCTCCCCAATTCCCCCCCCCCCCCCCCCCCCCCCGGGCAACCACAAGTCTGTTCTCCGTGTCTTCCTTTTACAAATTTTTAATTTAATTTCTCCTCACATTTCATCATTTTAAGGAAGTTGGGAGACAGGAATTAGTATTTCTGCTGATGGAGTTGAATCATCTGTTAAGGATTTCCAAAAATTTTTAAGTATTTTTATGCTTTCCAGTCATGTGAGAAGAAAGTGTCAAGAATTGTCCCAAGGTCCACCAGCTGTACCGTGTCTGAGCTGGGTGGGAAACAGCAAGATTCATTTCACCCCCCGCCCATAATGGTGCTGACAGCATTGTCGTGTTTTTGATAACAGGAACACCGTTTGCTGAATACCCGTGTTTCAGGAGGCTCACCTTTGTTCTTTCTCTTCTTTACAACATCTCTGTAAAGAGTAGGAACTGTTGTCCCAAGTTTACCACAGATGAGGAATCCTAACTCCTGATTCTTTGACGGTGGGATTTTCACAAGGTCATACCCACGTTGAGCGGCAGAACTGGGATTTGAGGTCAGGTTGGTCAGAATTCAAAGTCCAGGCTCTGGAGACCTGTTAACATGCTCTGTCCTTGTTAACTTTAGTGACGAAGCTCCCTCCTTCCACTAGGCCCCAGGGAGACGGGCGGTGCAGGAAGGGTGTGGACTGGCGGGGCAGGGAAAGGGCATAGTGGCCAGTGCAGGGCCTGGGGGTTGCTGGGGTGTGGGGAGTGAGGCAGGGAGGGGGAGATTGACGCAGAGTTCCCAGGGACCCCCGGGCAGCCACCAATGGCAGGTGCCTCTGCAGCGCCTGCCGGCTGCCCAGGGAATATGTTCTCGTTGTTCACGTTGGTTTCCCTCGTTGGTTGGCGAGGTAGGTGTTTCTTCCTCAGCCGTGCTTTGCCTGCACTGACCCCTGAGATCTGTGATTCACTTGGAAACCTCTGGTACTCCTATGTCCTTGGTTTTTAGGAAGGTGATTTCTCTCATGGCTCTGGGAGGCATTGGGAGGATGCATTTGTCTGGTGTTTGGAAACTGAAAGGTATATAACACGGGTGCTATGTGCTATTGTGATGGTTACACTGCAGTGAACGGAAGCGCAGCTCAGAAGTGGTGTTGGTAGAGGCTGGCGATTCCTGGGTGTCTGCATCAGGGGCGACGGCTTGTTGCTTCTGGTGCCCAGCACATCCTGGATTTACGTGGACCCTTTTTTCTTGTCTTTCACCTAAGGCAAGCACTGCCACAGGTCGAGAGGGGGGAAGCGGGGATTTTTAGAAAATGTCATTGGCAGAAAAGGGTCCTGTGAAGATGCTGGGTGTGAGAAGAGTGTGACAAGTCCTCTGGGCCTTTGCCTGGTGGCTTTCAGAGAGGAAAGGGAATGATGTGTTCTTGGGTGTATTCCAGGTACTGTGGGAAAAAGGCACTAGCGTGGACCAGGCACTTCTCTTTTAATAATAACTCATCCTGTGTAAGATAAAGGCACCTGTTGTACTTTAAATTGATGGGAAACTTCATCTTGGGTCGAGAGAGTTTTGAGGGTCACGCAGCCAGTGCGAGGTGGGCCTGGGGTCCAGCGCCTGTCCCCAGGGCCTGGCATCTCTCCTTTATACCATGCTGCAGCCAGGCCACCTGCCAGCTCAGGCTCATTGGCATGCAGAGGTCCCTACGTTGGGTCTGGGAAGTGCCTTTGTGCTGGTGGCTTGCTCTTTTTTTTAGATTCTTTTGATGTGGACCATTTTTAACGTCCTTATTGAATTTGTTACAATATTGCTTCCGTTTTTATGTTTTAGTTTTTTGGCCTCAAGGCATGTTGGATCTTAGTTCCCCGACCAGGGATCGAACCCACACCCCCTGCATTGGAAGGCGAAATCTTAAACACTGGACCGCCAGGGAAGTCCCTGGCGGCTCTTTCTGATCTGGTCCCGAGGACATAGGCCCGTGACACCGAATCTGTTCAGATGAGACTAGCTCTGCTCCTCTGGGGAATGTCAAGTCAGCCACCATTGGCCGATCCCCAGCTAGCCACTGGCACGTCCTTGGCATTTCTATGTGTGGCCAGCGGCTCAGGCACCTGCCTGGGTTCTTTCTCCAGCTGTCGTGGTCAGACAAGGTTCTGAGCCCTGTGGAGGCCCTGCCTGCTCTGTGCCTCTTCCCGAGAGGCGGACACCCTTCAGTGTTCCTCACAGGTGTCAGCCATGGGCAGCTGAACGTACCTCCTTGAAGCACAAGGGCCCTCTCAGGCCGAGTTACCTGGATTTTGTTTTCACCCTCTTTCTGGAACTGGTGTGAACTGAAACTGCGGCAGAAGCTATGACAGGCCTCAGAGATTCAGCCGATGTTTGTCTCTGAGAGTCATACGGTAAACTCAGTTTCTTGTGCTGTGCAAGGTGGTTATTGCCCTGAGAGCATCTCCTAGTCCCTGGTTGCGTGGGTAGGTAAAGGGACACCTTCGTGGGCATGGGAGAAGGCTCTGGCATTAATGTTCCAGCACCTTCTATCAGGTGTTGGCCCCCAGGCCAGATCCAGCCTGCTGACCTCTGCCTTAGATCATTCTGCAGAGAGGATTTTTCTTGGCAAAAGGCCTCAGAGGAGCTGGTAGAAAGTGGGTAGAGAAGTTATCGTTTCATGGGTATGAAATTTCAGTTTAGGGTGATGAAAAAGTTCTGGAGATGGTTATTGAACTTCCTTTATAAACCTTACAGTGACAACGATGGGTGGGTCTGATCAGTCCCGCTTTATAGCAGGATATATGCAGACTCAAAGTTGAAGTTATTTTCTTAAAATTTCATGGCGAGTGGGAGGGCCATCATTCAACCCCAGGGCTTTCTGAACTTACTTTGCCATAAATGTCTGGGTCTAAAGGAAAGCTGGAGGACTTGGGGCTGGTTCTTGCCCAGAGGACTTTTAAAAATGCTACAGAAGTACTTGAAAGGTTTGTTTTGTCCCTTTTCATGCCTTTTGCCTGGACCCTCATACCTGTCTTGGACATGGACGAGCCAGAGGGGCGCCTGGACAGTGCTTGGCCTCCCCAGGAAGAGGGGTTGCCTAGCGGAAATCTCCACTTGCCTGCTTTGGGGCCCAGCTGAGGGTCTGTAGCTTCTGTTTTGTCCTGGCTGCCCAGTCATGACTGAGCCGGGCGTCATGTTCTGAGCCTCTGGTATCCGCTGCCCACAGGAGCTGCTTCAGCCAAGATAAGCTGACTCCTTGCTAATCACCCCCTGCCAGCTTCCCCCACCCGGAGCCCGCAGGCTGCCTGGGCCATGGGCTGGGCTTTCCCCGGAGCCCGACGGCACTCCCCTGGCCACTCTCATTTCTGAATTTGTCTTTTCCTTTCTGCCCTTATTTTTGCCCTTCTTGGTTTCAAACTTGAACAGACAGATTTTGTTCCTGCAAGTGGACACTCTCCATCCTCTCCTGGTCATCTGCATTCTTGTTGTGTGGGCCTCAGGCTGGAAGCCTTTTGTAATCACTCTGGGTTTTTCCACGCTCGGCCCTCTCTGCCGTGACTGCGTCTGACCACTGGTTCAGGATCCCGCAGGCGGTTCAGGGGACACGAGGACACCTGGGGGAGCTTCTGGGCTCTTAAAATAGCATTAGCTTCCTCCATGCTTTTAAACCTACTTTGACCTCATACGGTTGTACCTGGTATGTTCATCCTGAGCTGATTTGAATTAATTTATTTGGTGTAAAGTGGGCCCTTTTAAAATCAAATGGTTTGTAGGAGGCATCAGGTTTGGTGGGGGGGGCGGATCCACAATGAAAATGAAACCTTGTAGGGAGCTTAGAGTAGCTTCTTTTAAGTGTTTTATTTTAACTTATTTTTATTTTTTAAAATAACTTTAATTTTATTTAAAAAATATATTTTGAATTTTTAGCAAGTCAACCAGGGAGGAAGAATGAGGGCGTCTTGTTTCTTGGGTTCCTAAGTTCTTTTTTTTCTTTTAAAATTTATTTATTTATTTATTTTTGGCTGCGTTGGGTCTTCGTTGCTGCGCGCGGGCTTTCTCTAGTTGCGGCGAGCGGGGGCTACTGTTAGTTGCGGTGCGTGGACTTCTCATTGCGGTGGCTTCTCTTGTTGGGAAGCACGGGCTGTAGGCGCATGGGCTTCAGTAGTTGTGGCTCGCGGGCTCTAGTGTGCAGGCTCAGTAGTTGTGGCGCATGGGCTTAGTTGCTCTGCGGCATGCGGGATCTTCCCAGGCCAGGGTTCGAACCTGTGTCCCCTGCGTTGGCAGGAGGACTCTGAGCAACCAGGGAAGTCCCCTACTAAGTTCTTTTTGAGGTTCAGAGTTCATGCTGGTCCTGTGCTTAAGGAAAAACACCCTAAAAAAACCAATCACAATTATAAAAGTAATACAATTTCTACTGTCAAATCCAGGAAATTGTAAAGAAGAATGATTAATAACAGTCAGAATATTCCTTCACCTAGACGAAATTTGTCAGCATTTTGGTGTATGTTTTCATCTACACCTATGCTTGTCTAACAAAATTGAGATCTTACTATTTCTTTCTGTTTCCCCTAATATTATACTGAAAGCATTTAAGCATTTTCCCATGGCATCAGACCAATCTTGAAAACATCACATGGGGCTTCCCTGGTGGCGCAGTGGTTGAGAATCTGCCTGCCAATGCAGGGGACACGGGTTTGAGCCCTGGTCTTGGGAAGATCCCACATGCCTGCGGAGCAACTGGGCCTGTGAGCCACAATTACTGAGCCTGCACATCTGGAGCCTGTGCTCCGCAACAAGAGAGGCCGCGATAGTGAGAGGCCCGCGCACCGCAATGAAGAGTGGCCCCCGCTTGACGCAGCTAGAGAAAGCCCTCGCACAGAAACGAAGACCCAACACAGCCATAAATTAATTAATTAATTAATTAATTAAAAAAAAGAAAACATCACATGGATGGGTCATAGATTGTCGAACCATTCCCATTTTGGGGACTATATTTGCAGGTTTGCACTGTTACAAATAATACATCTTTGTAGTTAAATCTTTGACCTCATTTGTGATTACTGCCTTGAGAGAAAATCCTGGAAGTTATTGGATCAAAGGATATACATTTGCATTTCTCTACATGGACAAATTGCTTTCTGGGAAAACTTGTTCTGGAGTAGACATTCTACCGGCAGAGAATGAGTTATCTGTTTTCTCTTCAGTGTTTAGTCTTTATAATCATTGATAATTTAAGTGAAAAGTGGTACCTCGCTGGTATCTTCATTTAAGTTTGATTACTAGTGAGGTTGAACACTTTCCTTATGTTTGTGGCCACTTTTATTTCTTTCATTAGTTTGTTCATGTACTTTGGCAGTTATTCTGTGAGGTGGTAGCATTTTTCTTGTAGATTTGGAAGAGCTCTTGTAATGTTAGTGACTCTTTGTCATAATTGCAGATACTTTTCTCCACCAGGTTGCTTATTAGTTTTGTTGATTGTATGTATGAGTGTGTGTGTTTATATGTACACAGGTTTTTAATTTTCATATAGATGGGTCTCTATATATATTTTTTTGTTTTATGCTTATTATAAGTGTTCAAAGTTTTCTTCTAAATCTGGGAGACAACTTTTAATTTAACTCATTAATCCATTTGAAGCTTATTTTGGTGAAAAGTATGAGTAATTGTATCTTTTTCCAAAAGATCCCTTTCCCCGCCTCTGTATTGAAATACTGTTCTTTCCTCAATGACATGTAAGGCCATCTTTATCACGTACTATATTCTCATCTGTTCCCGTCCTTTTTCTGGGCTGTCTGTCATTTTCCATTATCAGATGCTGTTGGAATTAAAGTAACTTTGAGCCCTCCTCATTGTCCTTTTCAAAGATCCTTTTATACAAAGTTAAAAGTCACTTTGTCTAGGTGGAGAAAGAAATAGTCCCTCTGGGAATCAATTCAGCGAAAAGACACCTGGGGCTTCAATGCCAAAGAATCAGTCGCACAAGTTAGGGATGCATTTCCCAAAATAAGATTTTGCATAGTTGTGAAAATTTAAACAGGCGTCTTGCCAAGTATCCTATGTACCAGCTGAAGGATCCACAGGGCAGTGAGTTGTAATAAAAAGGGCTATTTTTGTGTTCCCAGACTCCTGCAGTGAAAGAACATATACTGTTTTCAAACCAGATGCATCCTTCTGGTTTTTAGATTCTGCCACTTCCTGGCTTATGTGTTTATTAGGACCACAGCTTCATGTCGTTCTGCAAATGATGTACGTTCCAGTGCTGTTGGGTTTGTCTGCCCTTTCGTATCTCGGTGGGAACCACTGACCCTAGAGTGGGATACCCAGGTATTTTCCCAACTGTGAGAGGACCAGTAGTTCTCTAATCCTGGGTTCCATAGAAGTTCCTCAGGGGGTTTACAGACTGTGAACAATAAAGATTTTAATCAGCAGAGAGAGTGTTTCATTGCTTATTTTATGTATTTAGGTTCTCTGTAAGATTTTGTTTTGTCCATCACTGATAGGTTCAACAAGCCCTGACCTAGATAGTCTAAGGTCTCTTGGAGTTCTAAAGTCATGTAATTCTGTAGTTCCTCATGCTATCAGCTCACCCAGAGGTAGCCCCAGGTGTCCAATTCTGTGTTCTTGTTAAAAGAGAAGAAAGGAAACCTGGAGAAAACTCTAGCCCACCAATTTCAGACTGAAAGTCTATTCAGGGATTGGTCCATTGTTTTCTCTCATTTTCTCTTTTGTCCCCCGGCTGCCTGGTGGCTTCAGAACATGCTCCTCCTTATGTGGGGTTCCTACATCACTTATCTTTGTTCCACCAGGAGTAGTTCATGATCTCGAGCTGTATTCTTTCTGTCCCAGGCAGGGAACGTGGTGACAGGAGAGATGGTGGAAGAGCTTATTCTTTCAGGAGCAGATATAATCAAAGTGGGTGTTGGACCAGGTAAGATTTGCTGGGAGCACAGCAGGGGCTGTGGGCGGGGGGCGGGGGCGGGGAGAATTGGGATCTGGGGCTTGGAGGGACCGGAGATGCCTAGAAGGTACCCCATGAATGATCCATCCACAAGTTTAAAGCACATTTCTTTTGGAAGTTATCATTGAGCTTCTGATCAGAAGAGGCTCCTGAATAGAAATATCATTGAGCTGCTTTCTGATGCCTCTGGGGAAGTTCTGAATGAACTTGAATGTGGTTTGAATGAGCTCTTGGTTTCAGAACATTAACGTGGAAGAAAAGAATGAGGTCTCATGAATGATCCCATTCACCTTGAAGAGGAAGGTGAATGGTGGAGAATCCATGGGGGCAAGTCTATGTGAATGTTCGAGGGACCCCAAGCATTGCAAATAGGCATGCAGCTGTGAGGTCACATTCGAACTTGACCTGTGGCTTAGGCGGTTATCATCTCTGGCTCCTCCCCTGGTACATATCCATCTCAGATTTTGCAGCATCCTCCTGGGCCTTCTCTCCCAGGATTGCCATCGGCATTTTGAACTGAGGAACGAGGAGGAACCTTTCTATCCTATACTGGGCGGTTCCATTTTCTCTTGGGGCCACTTGACGCTGGCCTTCCCCTTTGGCCAGACAGGAGCATGAGCTTCCATATTTTTAATGTCTTCATTGTCCCATTTTAAAATTCCTCCTCGCACATCCATTATTAACCAAACACTAAAACTGAAGAGAAGGAAAGAACGAGATACACATTTTTTATTTTTTAAAGAAACCCATATTTTATGTATTCATTTTTGGCCGTGCTGTGCGGGATGCAGGATCTTAGTTCCCTGACCAGGGATTGAAGCCATGCCCCCTGGAGGGGAAGTGTGGAGCCCTAACCACTGGACTGCCAGGGAAGTCCTGAGATACACATTTTCATTCGGGAATAAAAAATAGCAAAGATTTTTTATAGGTATCGTCTACCCAGAAGACACTACCTAAAAAGGAAGCAAATAATAAACCAATATGAGAAGAGTCTTTGGGAAAGCACTGCCAGGATGCAGAAGACATCATTGTGTTGTGACCTGGCACCGTTGTCAGCCTTGAGGAACTAGGGTGGACATGAAGAGACTCTTGAGGAGGGGGAGCCCTGTACGCTTGTGAAAGGCCCCGAGCTTTCACTTTGGTCTTTACTGGGTGTCTGCCATTATTGAAAAGTCAGAGAGGATAAAGCCCAGTTCCTGCTTACAGGGCGCTCTGCCCGCCTAGAATGGGCTGTAATAGATTAGGCTTGTAATAGGGTCGAATAGGCTGATAACAGGCCGGGAAGGCTCTTTTCCCCCAACGCAGAGCACGTACCAGTTACCTATTTGAGTGTCTCCTAGCTGCCATCGTGCTGGGTGGGTGCTGTACAGGATGTGAGGTGTCTTCTCGGCCCTCTGAGCCGTTCCTGATGTAATCTTGAGCATTCAGCCGCCCTCGTTTCCTTCCCAAACGTCCTCTATATATACAGTCTCTTTCCCCCGAAGATTTATTGTCCTTCCACTGTCGCTGTGTGCCTCCCAGGCTGTCTGTTTAGAACAGGCGTGACTGAAGGGTGTAAGAGGCTTTCTTTGAGCCTGATGTATTGGAGCCACTTCTGTAAATTTATTGGAGAGGATGTGTACGTTTCACGAATTCTTCAGCATAAAAACACTGGGTACTGTCTAGATGACAGGATTAAAAAAGGTTCATTATGGAACAACTCCTGGCACTTGGGAAAAAGCATTAAAAATGCACCCCTCGCCCCACCCCCTGCTCTGGGCTGGTACCTAGTTTCTCCTTTCAACCTGGGGCTTAATCAAGACCACTCCCACGCCTTGGCCCTCGCCTGTACAGAGCTCCAGGCCGCTGCAGCTGAGCCCCTGCCCTCCGCTGAGGGTCTGGCAGATGAGTGGGAAAGGAGAAAAGCGAATTCTGAACCAGAACCAGAGGTTATACAACTCCAGTTGTGCCTCGCACAGTGTGTGCCTCGGACAGGGGTGCCTTGGTCAGGAGAGAAGGTCATTGGCCCCAGGGTAGTGAGTGGCCCGTGTTGTGAGGATGGACAGAAAGAGGCGGTTCTGCCCTGCAGCTCGATGCTGGAGAAGGTGGCTCCCCAGTCCCGGTTTCCCTGCTGGAGCCAGGCCTCAGGGTGTAGCCGTGGTTCTCCAGTCCTGTCCCTAAAGACACCCCCCCTCCCCCGGGAGAGGTCTGTGGGAAGCTGAGAAGCCACTGGTGGTGGTGGGGAGCCTCGCCCGAGGGTCCGGTGGGAGGGAGGAGTTCACGCCCAGCTTTTACACTGGCCCCAGGGCACCCCAGAGGCGACACCACCAGACCTGCAGGAGGGACTGAGTGAGTGAGTGGTGAAGCTGTAGAGACAGGGACGTGGGTGACTCATTCATTCTCGAGTTCACGCATTCTTTCTGTGACTATTTATAGTGCCCTTATTATGTTCAGGGCTCTGTTCTCAGCGCTGGATTGACCACACTGAATATCCAGGGAGCTTACCCTCCAGCAGAGAAAACAGATCCTCGGTTCTTACGCAAATAATGATTTAAATGCTGTTTTTGAAATGAGGGCTGTGATGAACAACTTCCCTGTGGCAGTGACATTTAAGATGAAGCCTGAAAGATGAGAAAGCATTGGCTGGACCAGGGGGTTGGTGCAGAGGGGAACGCTCCACAGAGAGAACACCCTGTACAGAGGATCCCCGAGGTGGGAGGAGCTGAAAGGGCAGCGTGGCTGGAGCCTGCTGAGTAGGGGCAGGAGGAGAGAGCCGGCAGAGCAGGGGAGACAGTCCGGAGCTTGATCCAGGTGGTCTCGGGGCGGGTGCTCGCCTGCTGGGAGGGAGGGGGAGACTTGAGCAAGGGGCCCTGTGTGCTGGAGAGGCCCGTGCTCTTGGCGTGACTCGGAGTGGACCTCCCTGGACTAATACCCTGCAGGCAGTCAACCAGGACTGGAGTTGAGTGGGGAGGGCAGAGGTCTAGGGGATGAAAGCATCGGGGAGGCTGCTGTGAGTTCTGCAATGGAAGCTGACCTCAGAGTCCTGGCTGGACTGGGTGGGAGATGGTCCACGAGAGGGTGGGGGCCAGGAGGCTGGGGCATGGAGAGGACAGAGCTGAGTCAGAGGGAGGCTGCAGGAATGCCCTGAGCGCCGGCTCCCTTTTCTCAGGGGCTTATTGCAAGGCTGGGCAATTTTCATCCCTCTTGTCATTTAATCTCCCTCACAGCCTTATGAGGTCAGTGCTTTTATTTTCATTTTACAAGCTAGGTATCGAGGCTTAGAGAAGTTAGTAATTTGACAAAGGTTGAAGGTCAGGGAGGCTCAAGGTCATGGGAGGCATCTGAAGGTCCCTTGTGGTTGCGTGGAAAGTGAAGGAAGGTGGGAAAGTATGGAGTTTAAGGATGGAGGGTCAGTAAGTGGGAGCTGATGTCATAGAAGAGAGTGACAAGGTGTAGGGTGGAGTGTCCTGGATAATAGCAGATGACGGTGATGAAGCCCTGAAGGGATCCAAGGCCAGATGGTGGCCACCTCCATTGAGCTGTGGGGCAGCCCCGTGGCTCCCCTCCCGCCACTGTGGAAAGTTCACCCCCAGGAAATTGGGGCAGGGCTGTGTGACGGTGATGGAGGCTCGTTTTGTATCCCGTTCTGCTCGTTCATAACCATCTCTCTTTGGGGTCTCCCTCTTTCTCCATCCAGGTTCCGTGTGTACCACCCGCACCAAGACGGGAGTGGGGTACCCGCAGCTGAGTGCTGTGATCGAGTGCGCAGACTCGGCCCACGGCCTGAAGGGGCACATCATCTCAGTAAGTGTCCAAGTGGGGCTGGTGGAAGGGTCTGGGAGCATCTGAGGAAGGCCCCTGCTCCCTGGCTGCCCTTCACCTTGTTGGCATCCTGTGGGCTCGGGAGTGAGCCAGGCACATGGTCACGGCATTTGGTGACAGTCGACCCTACTCCCTATGGATTCAGCTCGAGGTGGTGGGTAGCATGACGGGGGGATACGTGGGGAGCTTTGAGAAAGTGAGAGGGCCACGTGTTAGCTTGCTAGGGCTGCCGTAACAAAGTGCCCCAGACTGGGTGGCTCAAACAAGAGAAATATATTGTCTCACAACCCTGGAGGCCAGAAGTCCAAGATTAAGGTGTCAGCAGGCCATGAAGCCTCCAGGGAAGGCTCTGTTCCAGGCCTCCCAAGCTTCTGGTAGTTCCTTGGCTTATGGCACCAGAGCTCCAGTTTTTACGTGGTGTCCTCCCTGTGTGCATGTTTGCCTTTGTGTCCAAATTTCTCCTTTTTATAAGAACATCCGTCATTTTGGATTAGAGGCCCATTCTGCTCCAGGGTGACCTCATTTTCGCTCATCACATCTGCAGCGGTGTGAGATGCTGTCACCGGTTACCGTAGTGAGGGCAGATTGAGCAGGATGTTGGGGGCAGAAGTTAGATTTTTGTGGGTGGAGAAATGTATGGGAAGGAGATGAGCAGAAGCAGAGTCAGTGATCATGAAGCTTCTGCAAGTACAGCACCTCAGTACTCAGCCACTAAATGTCAAGGATTGAATGAATGTCAAGTTAATCCTCAATTTATCTGCTATTCTACTCCACCTTTATCGACATGACCGTCATTCACATAGTTACCACATCTCTCCCCTTCTAGATGAGATGCTCAGAATAGGACAGAACATGTCAGATATAACTGAATGGACTTGGACAGAGCTATGGCTTCCACTTATGTGGGTGATACATACATACATGTATATTATATATAATTAAATTATGTGTATTTAATATATATATATAAATTCTGAAGTGGTGGTGTATTTTTAGTGGTGCTGTAACAATGAACTCGCACTGAATATAGTAAATTAAATCTTCAGACCTTTACACTTGTCCAGTTGCTAAGCCGAGCTCCCACATTAAGTAACTGACAGATTATTTTGTAAAAACTCCAGATGTAGTAAATTTCATATCCTGGTGGAATGATCTCTTGTTGATTTTGGCTCAGCATTTCAGCTGGTGAGTTTGATTTCCGGACCTGCTTTGAGGGTATAATAATACTCTTTAAAAATCCTTATGTGCACACCATCTCATTTGAGTTTTACTATGGCATTGGAGCCCTGCAGCCATTGCTTCCCGGCACGTGACTTGTTACAACCAAAACGAAGATCTAGTTCTTTGACTCGTGGTCCAGCGCACACTTCCTGTGCTCCTTCCAGTTGTTTATCCAGACTTTCCATCCATCCATCCATCCATTCAGTCAGCACGTATTTATTGAGCATCTACTGTGTGCTAGAAGCTGGAATAAATGACCAAAGATTTATTGGCTGCTGACAGAGTTCTAAGACCTTCCAATTAATATCTTTTCCTTTTAGCTTTTGCTCCAGTGAACAAATTAAAACCCATTTATTGAACAACTCATGTGTAAAAGGCTGACATAGAGCCATCATCCTACCTTTACGGAGTGTGGTGATTGAACTCACTGGAGTCACCAAACAGCACTGTCCTCCAATATGGTTCTCAAATGCTCACCGTAGCCTTGTCTTGGGCCGGCTGCATGACATTCACCAGGGAGACTTTTCACCGTAGACATTCCTGGACCCCATCCTGTTGAATTAGACTCTTCATAGTTTGCCCTCCAGAGCACCATATGTAATTAGTTATAAGTCTCCATTCACCATCAAGTGTCTTAATAACAATTTAGACCGTATATATCTTCCTTGAGTGGCCACCATCTCTGAATCGGTGGAGGTCAAATTAATGAAGTTTTACTGTGAACTTATTCTGAGATCCCATACTTGTGTCTTTCTAGAAATTTCCCAGTTGCTTAGTTTATAGGACCATTTGGGGAGTAGGGGTGGAGGCTCTGCTTGCACCACAAGTGACTCTGAAAATCAGCTTGGGATCTCCTTACCCACCATCATTTTATAGCTTTTGTCAGCAGTTCTCTAAGTGTGTGCCCAGACCTGGAGTATCATTTTCAACTGAGGACTTGTTAGAAGTTCTTGGGCCTCGTCTCAGACCTACTGAGTCAAACTCTGAAGGTGAGGCCCAGGAATCTTTTAACAAGCCCTCTAGGTACTTCAGATGTGCTCCCAAATTTGAGAACCACTGGCTTCTAGAGTCGAGGGTCGGTACACACAGGTCGGGTCCGTGTACCAGAGCCAGAGCTCTGTCTGCTGGCACCTAGGGAACAGCTTCTGTGAATTTCTCAGGAATAGTGACAGCCCAGGCTGGTGATACCGATGCTCCAAGGTTCTTATTTTTCCATTGATGGCCAGAGCTTTCCTAGATGGGGTTAGAAGTTCAATCTGTAATGCAGACCCCGTGAAGTTCACAGACTTATATAGGTTCTGCACCCTTGACGTCAGTTCATTCCTTCTGACCAGCAGCTGAGTGTCTTGGGGTTCAAAGCAGCTGTTTTTCTCACTGTCCCTTTGTCTAATGGAGTTTCACAAGCAGGTTTCTCCCACTTGCCAAGAGTGCTAAACCCACTGGAAACCCATCAACTGTTAGGATCCTGCCACTTTGTCCAGTTTCCTTCCAGCTGTCTCATTTTACACTTTCGTTGCTGAATTAGCATGTCTGTGCTACTGAAGTTCAGAAGGAAGCCACAGCAGGGGGTCGGTTACACCCAAGAGGCTGGACGTGAACTGTGGTCCACGTGGGCTTCTGAGAGGCAGAGGACGGAGAAATCCAGGACACCTCCTGGGTAGGTGAAGATTAAGGTGTGACCGGTTCATTTTGTCTTGTCATCTGCTAGGGACATGACACAAAGGAGAGCATTTTAAAGGTGGAAACAGCATTAGAGGAAGTAATGGCTGACATGTATTGAGCAGCTACCGTCTTTTGGGCACGGTACGCCTATAATCTCTCATCCTTGGAACAATCTAGGTATTAGGTAGCTGTTCTCTTCATTGGACAGGTGTATTTGGGTTCTCTAGAGAAACAGAACCAATAGGGTGTGTGTGTGCGTGTGTGTAGATATAGATTTATTATAAGGAATTGGTTCATGCAATGATGGGGCTGAGAAGTCTCAAGATCTGCAGGGGGGTTGGCACGCTGGAGACCTAGGAGAGCTGATGGTGTGATTCCAGTCTGAGTCTGAAGGCCTGAGAACCAGAGAGAGCCAGTGTTTCTGTTGGAGTCAGCGTCCAAGGTCCCAGTTCTAAGGCAGTCAGTCAGGAAGAATTCCCTCACTTGGGGAAATCTCAGCCTTTTTGTTCTATTCAAGCCTTCAAGTGATTAGGTGAGGCCCACCCACATTAGGGAGGGCAATCTGCTTTACTCAGTCTGCTGATTCATGTGTTACTGTCATCCCCAAAACACCCTCACAGAAACATCCAGGACAATTTTTTGACCAAATGTCACTCCATGGCCCAGTTGACGCCTAAAATTAACTGTCACGTCCAGTGAGGAGACTGAAGCTTTGAGACCTAAAGTAACTTGTTCAGCATCACACTGCTGGTGGGGGGGCAGAGCCAGCTCTCAAACCGAGGTCTGTTCATCTCCCGTGTTCCACTCCTTCCCTTGACCACCCTCATTTAGAAAGTGTGGAGACTCCGAGGGTGAAGGGCTAGCTGAAGTCACCAAGAATGCAGGGTTGGCCCAGCATCCCGGGTCTGCTCCTTTCCCATCACACTGCTTTGGGGGACTTCAGCTTAACCTGTGTTTATAGCTCACCTTTCCCCCGCAGGGTCCCCAAGAATGTCTTCAAGTGAAGGGATCAGAATCAGAACCCAGTGAACCCTTAGGAAGGGCAGGGATTGGAACAACCAGATGAGTTCATTGTCCACTGATACCCAGAATGGCTTGGACTTTGTAGTGCTTCGCGGGACCTAAAAAAAGGTCCTGTGATGAGATTGGCTGGGATCACTATTGTCTCTTTACTCAAGGCCAAAATTTTAACCAGTGCATTTGATAAAGACCTAGAGAGCGTGCTTCTCTAGTTTGAGGAGGGAATGATAGAGGTCAAGCTGATTCAAAGTTACCCCTGACCCCCTCCTTGTCTACACCCAGTCAGTAGGGCTCTCATCCACTCACTGACCCTCTGCAAAGAAGGAAAGATTGATGGGCAAATTTCTTATTTTGTTGATTTAATGTAGTTGTTTAGGAAACGGTTAGACCATTATTTGGAAAGGCCTAAACAAAGTCATTCAAATAATTTATTTTGAGGCTTGAAGAATTCCCCAACCAAAAAGGTTTAGCCTAGAAAAAGTTAGAAATATAAAGGAAATAAAGATTACTGGAAATGCCATCTTTTTCAAAAAATTTATTTTACTAAAGTGTAGTTGATTTTCAGTGTTGTGTTAATTTCTGCCATACAGCAGTGTGACTCAGTTATCCACGTGTACATGCTTTTCCATAGTCTTTTCCATTATGGTTTATCACAGGATATTGAATATAGTTTCCTGTGCTCTACAGCAGGACCTTGTTTATCCATTTATACATAATAGTTTGCATCTGCTAATTAATCCCAAACTCTTCATCCCCCTCCTTCTTGGCAACCATAAGTCTGTTCTCTGTATCTGTGAGTCCGCTTCATAGATAAGTTCATTTGTGGCATATTTTAGATTCCACATATAAGTGGTATCACATGGTATTTGTCTTTCTCTTTCTGACTCACTTCACTTAGTATGATCATCTCTAGGTCCATCCATGTTGCTGAGAATGGCATTATTTCATTCTTTTTTATGGCTGAGGAGTATTCCATTGCGTATGTATACCACATCTTTTTTATCCATTCATGTGTCGATGGACATTTAGGTTGTTTCGATGTCTTGGCTATTGTGAATAGTGCTGCTGTGAACATAGGGGTGAAGGTATCTTTTCAAATTAGAGTTTTGTCTGCATGTATGCCCAGGAGTGGAATTTCTGCACCATATGGTAACTCTATTTTTAGTTTTTAAAGGAACTGCCATAGTGTTTTCTATAGTGGCTGCACCAGTTTACATTCCCACCAGCAGTGTAGGAGGGTTCCCTTTCCTCCACACCCTCTCCAGCATTCGTTATTTGTAGACTTTTTGATGGTGGCCATTCTGACCTGTGTGAGGTGATACCTCACTGTAGTTTTTTTTGTTTGTTTTTGTTTGTTTGTTTTTGCGGTACGCGGGCCTCTCACTGCTGTGGCCTCTCCCATTGCGGAGCACAGGCTCCGGACGCGCAGGCTCAGCGGCCATGGCTCACGGACCCAGCCGTTCCGCGGCATGTGGGATCTTCCCAGACGGGGGCACGAACCCGCGTCCCCTGCATCGGCAGGCGGACTCCCAACCACTGCGCCACCAGGGAAGCCCCTCACTGTAGTTTTGATTTGGATTCCTCTAATAATTAGCGATGATGAGCATCTTTTCATGTGCCTGTTGGCCATCTGTATGTCTTTGGAGAAATGTTTATTTAGGTCTTTTGCCCATTAGTTTGATTGGGGTGTTTGGTTTTTTGTTATGGAGTTGTATGAGCTGTTTGTATATTTTGAAAATTAAGCCCTTGTTGGCTGCATCATTTGCAAATATCCTTTCCCAGTCCGTAGGTTGTCTTTTTGTTTTGTTTATGGTTTCCTTTGCTGTGCAGAAGCTTACAAGTTTGATTAGGTCCCGTTTCTTTATTTTTGCTTCTATAGAAATGCCATCTTAAGATAACCACTGCTAATGTTTTTATATGTATGCTGCTAGACATTTTCAGAGTTTACTCTTAAGTAGCGTTCTAGTCTCGTTCTTCCATTATTATAGCTGTGTGACCTTGGGCAAGTCACTCAACCTTTCTGAGTCTCCCTCTTTGTCTTTCCCCACCTATAAAAGATCAGCTTCAGGTTCTTGTGGTGTTTGAATAGAAAAATGAAGTTTGTAACAATCCCTTGTTCGTAGCCGGTGCTTGATTCCAATTCCCTCTGCCCATTGCATGCGGACTTTTCACTGCCCCTTCTTTTAGGGCTGGGCAAGTATTTTTAAGAAGAGGTCATGCTGAGAGTTCACAGATCGAATTGCCACTCATGTCCTGTGATGCCTTTTCTACTAAAACATGTTAACACTCTTGGAAAACAAGTAACCCTTGGAATATTTGCATGTTGTTTTTTAAAAACTCCGTGCAGCTATGCATGTTCGTGTATGAAAGTAAGCGTGTCTGATTGCAGAGGTTTCCCCATACTGCTCTGCCTCCTGAGAACATGAAAGGATGCTTTAACCACTTTTGGAAATTACCTATAAATGGTAGTAGGGAGAGGACTCCTTGGCCGTAAAGCGTTATGTGACGTTGGGTTGCATGGGGTTAAATTGCAGTCCCGCGCGTTTGCTCTGCGTTATCTGTTTCATAAATCCCACCACAGCACAATGAACAGACAAGGCCCTATGTATGGCTTCCTCTCTGTGGCACATCACAAAGTCCTATTAACTGTGGACATTTTGGCCCATCCTGGGAGGAGAAGACCTCATTTTCTTGGGGCCCCAAGAGCACAGACTTTCTGAGTCAGGCCTCATCGCTGACTACATGAGTGTGGCATTTTCAGAAGCCAGCACGAGCCACCCTAGTAGTCACGAGCTAATCACTCACTAGTGAGTGAGCAAAAGACTTAAGGACACACTCTTGTGCGTGTGTGTGCACGTGAGTAACTTTTTTTTTTTTTTTTTTTTGCGGCACGTGGGCCTCTCACTGTTGTGGCCTCTCCCGTTGCGGAGCACAGGCTCCGGACGTGCGGGCCCAGCCGCTCCGTGGCACGAACCCGCGCCCCCTGCATCGGCAGGCGGACTCCCAACCACTGTGCCACCAGGGAAGCCCCGAGTACACTTTTTTTAAAGTCAGATCATGTTAGGGACCTTTTTATTGGGAGCATGAGTTTATTTAATCTTTTGAGGTTATAAGTTTGAAACCCTATTGTGAAGAACTGGTTTAGATAAAAAGATAAAGCACTTTAAAAATAATGGCAGGTCAAGTGAAGGGCATGGAGGGGTTGCACCTTTGAAAGAGAAAGTAAATATAGCGGAGATTTGAAGCACCAACAGGATCCACAGAGCCTTGACTGCATTCACATGAAGGGCCTTGGCCAGGTACCTTCTATGGAGAGACTCTGCCTCTGAAACAATTGCTCATGAACCCGTGGCCCTCCAGGGTCAGGGAAGCCACAGGTGAATAATGTACTTGATCAAGGAGGAGATAATTGCCGTCAGTAAATATTCATAAAAGCCAGAGATTGAGCCTTCACACTTGCTTTTTGATCAGAATTGCAAAGACGCAAGGAAGCAGTATTTTGAGGTCTAGCTCCCGGAGGGACAGGGCTAAAAGCATATCGGAAAAGAAGGATTGAGTCACAGAGACCCACGTCCTCAGCTGGAGATGCTATTTGTAAAGTGGTTTGTCCCAGTTCCACGGAGACGCCCTCCAACTCCAGGGCCGCACGCACCTTCCTGCCCGGGTGGCCTGGGTCTCCTGTGTCCTTCCCAAAGTGCGTCCCCCCTCCTGGGGACAGGCACTTCCCTCCGAGACCCATTCTGGGCTCTGGCACTTCACGCCAGCCCCGAGCACTGCCCCGGCTTCCGGTGCCTCTGCTTCTTGCCTCTCCCTGCTGGGCAGGCTGATACCCCAGGCCACGTCTCTGGCCTTTTCCTCCTCGGACCTCACACGGGCCACATTGCCAATAGGAGGTAAGCAGCCTGGTTATTTTGTGCCTCTTGTGCTTGTAAGAAAACGCAATGGGTCTGTGTCCTAGTACCTTTGTACTGGATCCCTGGTGTTGAAACATAAGCCCCACGGCCAAACTGCCGGGCAGCCCAAGGTGTCAGGCAACCCCACCAGGCACTGAACCAGCGTAGGGCCCTGTGTGGGTCCAGTGGGTGTCAGGAATGCATGTTTGACTTGGAGGTAACTGGATACCTTACAGGAAGGTGACTGAGAGACACGTGGAGTGGCTGGAAGTATAAAGGAGCGAATTCAGTGTCCTCTCTGGCTCATAAAGTACTTCTGCTTCTGTGCTGAATAAACCTCACTTCACACCGGGCAGTGGGGGAAAGATGACCACTGAATGATGGTTACGTGGCTGGCCAGTGGCCAGGCGTGTTGAGCAGGGGCCGGCAGAGGATGAGGTCCAGCCCCTGCGCCCTGCCCGCTCAGCAGTTCCTGCTTCTGCATCCCAGGAGGGGTGCAGGTGCCCGGGCTCGGGGTGGGGAGGGACAGGCAGTGGGTGTGCAGACCTGAGACAGGACTGACGGGGCCGGGGGACCAGAAGGTGCGGTGGTGAGGGGAGTGTCGGGCCTTGGCCCTGAGGGTTGTGTGCTTGGCTGCAGGCAGGGGTGGGAGGAAGGGGCTGGACCAGCAGATGCCATCGAGTGCCCCCAGGGGAGGGGGATGGCCGGCCAGGCTCCCACTGATAGCCTTTCTTTGCTCTTTCCTTTTTGAAGGACGGAGGCTGCACGTGTCCAGGAGATGTCGCCAAAGCCTTTGGTAAGAGGCCGCAGAGGGGGAGGGGAGGGAGCTCCCTTGCAGGGGTGCCGGAAGGAGGTGGCAGACACGTTAGGAAGTTCAGGGCCAATCCTGAGTTTCCTCTCCGCCGATTTCAGCCCCTGATTGGCCCAGATCCTGGCATCAGTTTGGTTCCGGTTGGTGGCAGAGCAGGCCGAGTGCCCAGGGATAGATGAAGGGGTGTTGCCCTGTGGGCCAGGAGTGGGTGAAGTCATAGCCCAGAAATCACCACTGGGAAGGCTCAGGGTACCCGAGGAAGAGGACTGTATCGGGTCTGAGACACCGAAACTTCAGCGAGGGGGTCTTCAGAGCCTAACGTGGGGGACTCCTGAGGGAGGGACGGGGGCCCTAGCCGCAGTTCCTCACCACAGGCCGAGGAGTCTGTGTCGCACCAGGGGCGGCAGCGTCTGGCTGTGACCCCGCAGGGCTGGGCCACGGCGCCCCAGCCAGGTGTTTTCTTGGGGAGGCACTGGGAGGTCCAGCATCTCTGCGTGCTGTGCTCTGAGCTGCCGCGCAGCTGGGGAACCCCGAGGTGAGGCCATGTGTGCTGGCAGGGGCATCTCTACTGTTGATTTTTGTGCTACGTGTACTTAATACTGATGGGTGTTCTGTCTCGGGCTCCCTTGTGATAGGGCACACGGTGTACCCTGCCCAAGTGGTGTCTGGACTCCCACTCCGGCAGCTTTCCCTCCCCGCGCTCCCCCAGGAAATGCAGCCACGCCTGTGGAGGGAGAGGGACCAGGTCGGGGCAAAATGCTGGTTAGGAAGGGACACGAGAGTGTTCAGAAAGGAAAATAATTGGAAGCCACTTCAAAGCATTGTTTGAGGGGATCTGTGCTCTGTGTTCCTGCTGTTTACATCTGCCCCTGGGGTTGTGGTTTTCGGGAGGCCTGGCCAGACACCAGTTGTCCTCTGCCCCCTTATAATCACGGCAGGGGGGCGGTCAAGGAGCCAGCAGTCGTGTTAGGGACCCTGCAGGGAAGAGTCTGCAAAGCTTGCTGCCAAGTAGAGAGGTCCTGGGCCTTGGTTCCCTGATTGCCAGGCCCAGGGGCCAGCCCTGTAGCCCCTGCCTTCCGTAATGCTGGACGGAAGGGACTGGAACGCCTGATGCACGCCCCAAAGTCCTCTTGTAAATATTTAAGTGACCAGATGGAAGCAGTCAAGGTCACGTTTCAGAGGATCCTGTGTTTGCTTCTCCTTGTCCTTCATCGTGATTACTTCACAGCATCTGTACGCTGATGTCCTCCCATTCTGGATATAAACCCTCAGTAGGGCTCGCTGAGGATGGGGAATAGTGACTGTTCCTGTTTCTTCCACGTAGGCCTTTCACTTTCCTAACAACTAGTTAGTGCCCATCTCCCATGTGCCATGTGCTATGATAAACACTGAGGGCACAGCAGTGAGTTAGCGCCACCCCGTTCCAACCATCCGTGGTCCTGATCCAACGTAACCTACGAAGGCAGTTTCAACACCCCAGTCTCCTGTGTACCTGTCCTGGAAGTTTCATGTCATTTGGTGATTAACATGGGGTATTGTTTACTCTGGAAGTCAAATGTTTATCACAGCAGAGGTGCGGGTAGAGTTTTACGGGTTGTATACACATATGTGTGTGTGTATGTGTATGACGTACATACTTACAGGTTTCTCTCCTTCACGCCCAAGCTCTAGTGCAGGAGGTTCTCTCTGTTCTGAGGTCCCTTCATATCTACACTGTGTGAGAGTGCTGCGAGCTTCAGGTAGACCAGATGCCTGATGGGGACATGGCAGAGGAGTTATTGTATTATGTATGAGGTTGGACAACATGCTGAGGTGCTGCCCAATTATTAATGCTTCTTTGATTTTCAGAGTTAGACCTGTGGAAGGTGGTCATAGATAGGAAGTCATCAATAACCATTAAGGGTTGTCCACTGTTACTAACCACCCAAGCTTCAGGAGGCTAACTTGTTGCTTGGAGCATCCAGTGCCCATCTGCCCTTACCTTTTTTCCAAGTGGGGAGGTTGAGCTTTTCTCTGACCACAGCCAGGAGGAGGGCGGGTGAGTTGGTAGCACTTGCATCTTTCCAGAGCCGATTTTCTCTGAGCTCTTTTCTCTGCTGCTTCTTTTCGTCCCCACTTTGGAGTGCAGGAGCCGGAGCAGATTTTGTCATGCTGGGAGGGATGTTTTCGGGCCATACTGAGTGTGCTGGAGAGGTGATCGAGAGGAATGGACAGAAGCTCAAGCTGTTCTATGGGATGAGCTCAGAGACAGCGATGAAGAAACACGCGGGAGGGGTTGCGGAGTACAGGTATGGAGGGTGGGTGGAGCGGGGGGGGGGGGGGCGGGCAGCGCCGTCACCAGTGAGGTTGCGTTCCCCGGCTCCTTACAGAAATGGGGTGGAAGTGGGTCTCAAAGACTATGAGTCTGTTTATATTATAGTACCACAGGAAGGAGCTAGAACACGTACATATTTCTTAATTAAGATGTTCAATTAAGAAATAACTGTATGGCTTAAATGTTTTTTTTTTTAACTGAAGTACAGTTGATTTACAATGTTGTGTTAGTTTCAAGTGTACAGCAAAGTGATTCAGTTATATATACATATTCATCTATTTTTTTTCAGATTCTTTCTCCTTATAGATTATTACAAAATATTGAGTATCGTTCCCTGTGCTATACAGTAGGTCTTTGTTGGTTATGTGTTTTAAATATAGCAGTGTGTACATGTCAATCCCAAACTCCCAACCTATCCCTACCCCCAACCCTTCCTTCCTGGTGACCATAAGTTCATTCTCTTTTTTTTAGATTTGCATGATATATGATTTGTCTTTCTCTGTCTTACTTCACTTAGTATGACAATCTCTAGGTCCATCCATGTTGCTGCAAATGGCATGATTTCATTCTTTTTAATGGCTGAGTAATATTCCACCGTGTATATACATACTCCACATCTTCTTTATGGAGTATATGGACATTTAGGTTGCTTCCATGTCTTGGCTATTGTAAACAGTGCTGCAATGAACATTGGGGGTGCATGTATCCTTTCGAACCATGTTTTCCTCTGGATATATGCCCAGGAGTGGGATTGCTTGATCATATGGTAGCTCTATTTTTAGTTTCTTAAGGAACCTCCATACTGTACTCCATAGTGGCTGTACCAATGTACATTCCCACCAACAGTGTAGGAGGGTTCCCTTTCTTCCACACCCTCTCCAGCATTTATTGTTTGTAGACTTCTTGATGATGGCCATTCTGACTGGTGTGAGGTAATATCTCATTATAGTTTTGATTTGCATTTCTCTAATAATTAGCAATGTCGAGAATCTTTTCATGTGCCTCTTGGCCATCTGTATGTCTTCTTTGGAGAAATGTCTGTTTAGGTCCTCTGCCCATTTTTTGATTGGGTTGTTTTTTTCAATATTGAGCCACACGAGCTGTTCGTAAATTTTGAAGATTAATCCCTTGTTGGTCGCATATTTTGCATATTTTCTCCCATTCTGAGGGTCGTCTTTTCGTCTTGTTTATGGTTTCCTTTGCTGTGCAAAAGCTTTTGTTTCATTAGGTCCCATTTGTTTATTTTTGTTTTTATTTCCATTTCTCTAGGAGGTGGGTCAAAAAGGATCTTGCTGTGATTTATGTCAGAGTGTTCTGCCTGTGTTTTCCTCTAAGAGTTTTATGGTATCCGGTCTTACATTTAGGTCTTTAATACATTTTATTTTTGTGTATGGTGCTAAAGAATGTTCTAATTTCATTTTTTTACATGTAGTTGTCCAGTTCCCAGCACCACTTAGTGAGGAGGCTGTCTTTTCTCGATTGTATAGTCTTGTCTCCGTTGTCGTAGATTAATTGACCACAGGCGTGTGGGTTTATTCTGGGCTTTCTGTCCTGTTCCATTGATCTATATTTCTATTTTTGTGCCCGTACTATGAAGTCAGGGAGCCTGATTCCTCCAACTTTTTCTTTCTCGAGACTGCTTTGGTTATTTTGTGTCTCCATACAAATTTTAAGATTTTTTGGTCCTAGTTCTGTGAAAAATGCCATTAGTAATTTGATAGGGATTGCACTGAATACGTAAATTACCTTGGGTAGTATAGTAATTTTGACAATATTTATTTTTCCAATCCAAGAACATGGTATATCTTTCCATTTGTTTGTGTCATCTTTGATTAGAAAACACATGTTGCCTCTTTGAAAGTAGCTATAATTTTCATCCAACCAGGCTTTGCAGTGTTTGGGGCCCCAGAAAGGCAGTGCAGAGGAGAAGTATTTGGGGATAAGTTGGAAATGGAACTAGGGGTATGTGTGAGTAGGTATGACTCTTGTTCAACCAGCCCTGGAGGGGACCCTCCAGACTTCCAGGCCTTGTCCTGGTATCACAGCCTTGTCCCGATAGAGCTGGTGTGGAGCCTGAGATGAGTCAGGCTATAAGTGGCAGGAAGAAGGATGGGTCTCCCACTGCATATGATACAGGAGTGGGCGAGACCACCTCACAGAGGTCAGGCCTTTTGGGAAGAGTTGCTGTGTGTCACCTGCAGTGGCTCCCACAGGACTCTTCCCTGCCTCTGGGTTCAAGCAGTTGACACAGGCAGTATTTTTAGGCATTTAATTATGTTACTGTGCAGAAGGGATGCTCACGTCTGCTTATCTGCTCCACTTCCATTTTAATTGTGTGCACGTGTGTTTTAAGAACGTTGTGACAGAATATACCCACTGTCTCGCCCTGCTCCATAGTCTGTCATTGCTTCTCATCAGAGTTTGCACTGATGACAAGCTGTGCACAGGACAGGAGGCCCTGCATCCTTAGAAGGATGTCCTTACAAGGATGGAAACTCAGGCCCCCTGCCATGCGCTGATAACCTCCATTTCCTACCACTTATTCCACACCCAAAAGCTTACAAGGAAGGTGTGGGATTCAGATGGATTGTGTAAGGTTTGAGCCAACCTAGAGGTACACATCTGAACTCCACTGAGATTTTCAGGTGGGTGGGAGGGCAGGAGGGGTGGGTCCCCCCCCCCCCCCCCACCCCCCACTGAAGCTCTGTTCCTTGGGTACTGGTAGGCTGACTTCAATCCTCTTTTGGGGGGAATCTCAGTATCAGTGATGTTGTGGTATGCGAACAGCACGGTGGGAAGGAGGAGAGCAGGGGACTACATTTATACCTTCATTCTGGAAACTGCAGACAGTCCAAGCAAGAGGGACACGCCCCGCCCACACCGCCTCCGAAGGCCTCTCTCCTGTGTGGTGACTGACGGAGGAGGCTGTACAGTGTGTTGTGGGAGAGAAGGGGAGGGGTTTACTGTCTCACATCCGACCTGGACCTCTGGCCAAGAAGCTTATTTAATGCTTTGCCAGTGACCAGTGTCACCGTTCAAGGGCCCATGCCTGTCTCCTATGTGCTGGTCTGGAAGTGGAGCCGTTGCGATTCCGTGACAGTCAGTTGCTTTGCCTGGAGGACATTTTTTGCGCTCTAGCCGTTGCATCTGTTTTGGGTTCTAAGAAAAGTAGGTAGGGAAGGCCAGACTCGAGGGTGAACAGAAGCCAAGGAGCTGGGGAAAAAAAAATCCTCTCCTGTGATTTCAGCAGGGTTTAAACAAAAAAGAAAACAGAAGATTTGGGAGTATCAAGACTCAGTTCCAGAACTGGATTCAAATCTTAGCCAAGGAAGGAAAGTGCTGAAGTACCTTAATCCAGAGGCAGCCTGAGCCCTGTAGGCTGCATCTGTGTTCTCTCTTTCTAGATCTGTCTCTGTCTGTCTCCCTCCCTCCCAGCACCTGATGTCTTCCTGAGAATGATTCTCCGTCTTTGATGTTGTATTTAATTAAGGCAGAGTTAATTATGCTTTACTAGTTCTTTCCCACTCATTACCCACTTAGTTCTCTTGCTGTCCTTGGGAGACAGATTAGAGCCCTTCATTTTACAGATGAGAAGACTTGGGCATCAACGATAAGTGACTTGTAAAAGGTGCCATCACCACTTAGCAAAGAAGCAATGCTGAGGAACTGGAGGACGTCCAGTAAGCCTCGGGAAGGCCATGGAAACCGCTTTTAAAAAATGAAAGGGCCATCATTTCAGGCACACGTGCGCGTGTTGGTCTCTGGTCACAGAGTGCAGTGACGCCAGTCATCTTGGGTGTGTGTGGCCAGTGGCCGGCTTCGTGAACTTGGTGCTGTAAACCAGCCACTAACTAGGCCAGCCCTTGGTCTGGTGGATGGTTTAAGTTGCTAGATTTCACCCGAGGGTAGTCTTGCAGGTGTAGATTGCAATGCTCAAGAATTACTACCCTTTTGAAATTCTAGGTAATAACTTTTTGATCAAGAGATGCTACTTTTTCAGTTGAAGAGACCAGCTAAAGAAAGTTCCAGAATTTAGTTAATTGTTAAAATTTCCAGACGGCCTGACCCTTAGATGGAGGCTAGAGTTTTGCATGGATTGGAGAGTTCCTTCTTGTAATGTCCCTCCTAAAGCAAGTCTGGACTGTATCTCCATCTTGCAGTAAGGGGACGTGACGTGGAATCAGCAAGGACAGATGTGCTCTAGTGTTGGCGCCACGTGCCAGCTCTTCTGAAGGTCTCAGTGTCCCCCTGAAAACTCAGAAGACGCTAACCAAAGCCCTGCAGCCTCCAGTGCTGAGGAAGTCCTTAGTTCTGCTCTGGTTCCACCTTTCAGGAGCCCCGCGCCACGCCCGGGACAACAGGCATAGTGATTTGAGCAGACGCAGGGTGGTGAGCTGGGGTCTGGGGGCAGGGGCACCCAACAAGGGCCCTGGGAAGACAGGCCGTGTGAGTGGAGCCACTAACCTTACTAGTGGAGGTTTCCACGTCACCTCGCGGTGCTTGACTTGTCCCTTTTCTCCATCCTTTCCCTCCTCCTCTCCGGCTTGTCCCCTGTGAAGGTGCTCTGTCTGACCCTGACTGGAGAGCTGGCAGGGGTGGGGGAGGGACACTCTGGGCTTGTTCCGTTGTTGATCAGGGAGAGCACGCGGGAGAGACGCTGGTGGGCAGTGGTCAGGAGGTCTGTTCCGCTGTCCCGTAGGTATTCCGGGGCTCTGGGTCAGTTGGAGGTGTGTGTACAGCATGAACAGAGACTGGAAAGGCGGGGCCGGTTTTCGATGGGGACGGAGTAGTGCACACTGCTGGGGAGGACGTCGCCCTCCGGGGTGACGGTCTGGGTCTGTGACTCTTCCAGGGTTGCTGACGGGCTCTGGGCAGCCAGCAGCGAGGTCATGCATCTTGGGTAGGAGGAGTGCCTTCCTCTGAGATGCTGGCCTGACCTGCGTGGCGTGTGCAGCAAGGCCGATGCGGGCGTGGCGTTGGAGGGTGGCGTGCGTGTCGCTGCCCGAGTGCCTTGGGCTACGGCTGGGTAATCCTTCTGGCCGGCTTCTTAAGGGAAAAGAACCAGATTAAAAGAAAAAAACCTCCCTTTTTCTTCCAGAGCCTCTGAGGGCAAGACCGTGGAAGTGCCTTACAAAGGGGATGTCAAGAACACTGTTCTGGACATACTCGGAGGACTGAGGTCTACCTGCACCTATGTAGGGGCTGCCAAACTCAAAGAGCTCAGCAGGAGGGCGACGTTCATCCGGGTGACCCAGCAGCACAACACCGTGTTCAGCTAACCTCGAGATCAAGGACGAGACGACCTCCAGCCGCTGGAAGCGTCTGCACAGGCCTGCTTTCCCACCCCCCTCCTCCTGTGACGGCAGAGGTTCCGGCTGATCCCAGAAGCAAGGCACTTCCTGGGTCAGTGGTTGGAGCTTAGCTGCCCAGAACATGTAACCTCCTTGTTAAAACTAACACTCACGCCTTTTTCTTTTCTTTCCTTTTTTTTTTTTTTTAAGAAAAGGGTTTCACTTTAATATAATGCTATGAAGACTTGCCTGCGTGCTGGAGTCTGCATTTGCAGGACCAAGTGGTCGGGGGAGCTGGGGGGTTTTCTGCCTTCTTCCCACGCTTGGCTTTTAGTGGTCAAGGTACCTGGGGAGGGGAGGGGAGGGCGGGAGGGGAAGATTGGGGGGAACCACAGCTAGAGGAACCGGCATCCCCTCCGTCCAGCTTTCGGTTGCTGGAAAAGAACAAAAGCAGTTGACAGGTGAACCTGAAGAATTTGATTCCGGCAGGTGCCCCCAAGGTGCGGTGATGTGTTTCCACCACCTTTCTTGCACGTGCCTTTTGGGAGCAGGTCCTCTATTGCTGCTGCTTCTAGGAAGCTGTCCCCGTCCTGGTTTTTCATTTGGTTTGTTTTCCCCCGTCTCTTCCCTCTCCTCCTCCTTTCTGGCTCATCGGGTTGGCCTCTCAAAGAATATTATTTTGAAGTTCCATGAGATCTTTTATTGAAAGGTTATCCACTGAAAAGTTGGCAGGTAGAGTCCCACTGGAAAGCGACCAAAACCTTGAGCAGTGCCTTCCTAAAAGGCATTGGTTTAAAATCTGAGATAGAACCGTTCCCTTGTCACGGTTTCCAGGAAGGACCACTGGGCACTACTGTATAAGGGTCTGTTCATTGGTGACAGTGGTACTTCCTTGGAGAAAGGACCCGTGGCCTTGGCAGGGATCCCACAGCAGTCCACTGTGACACTTGTCTAAACGGTGAACACGGATGAATTAATGATGACCGGCCACTTCTTTTGAAGCATCATTTGAATATCAGGACTGGGAGGTGTATGCAGCCCAGGGTGTTTTACTTTACTCCTTTTAAACGAGGCTAAAGCAGCGGGTATGGGAGTTAAATTTTCTCTGAAAAGACAAGCGACAGCCCTGGAGCAGAAAGGAGCCACACACTCCTACTGTGTAAGAGCGAATTAATTATCTGATGTCCATGGTGACTGACACCGTATGAGGAATCCAACCAAACCATGGCACTCCAGGAACTTACAGGTCGGAGTTTAGTCTTAGAAGAATACCTTTAAAGATCCAGCAACTTGAACTCCGTTGTAATGCTTTTTGCTCCTCAATCCATTCAGAATACTTCTTATACTGGTAGAAACACGAACGGCTACACATTTGAGATGAGGGTCTAAAGGATGTGGAACATCAAGCAAGATGTGGGTCATTGCTGGAGGCACCCCACCTCTTTTGTCTGCTTGTCTGAGGTGTAAGCCCCATGCTGTTCCTGTGGAAGACGTGTTTGACACTTGAGTCCTCTAGTGTGTTAGCTGTAAGAGATTCTTTATTTGCAAAATAAGGGAGAGAAGTGGAGAAGTCTTAAATCCATTAAAATGGACGAGCAGTAAGTAATAAGGAAACTTCCAGAATGGCATCGTTCTCCATGCCCCTGGTCTTGGCTTTTGGGGGTCACCTTCTCCCATCAGGGTGGAGCACACGACGGCACCCCTTTGGGCAGTCCTCTCCACGGTGATGTGCACCTGCTTGATCCATCTTGTGCGAAGATTTTGCAGACTACCTGCTCTTTGTTTCCAGGAAGGCAGGTCCCTCGCTCACCTGGTTTTTAGGGGAGTGAAAACGTGACTGACTGCAGAAGCCAAAAACCTCATCAGGATCATTTTGAAGCAGAGGTTTCACTTCTAAGGGCCCCTTACCCTCTGCAAGTTGGTCTCTTGCCTCTAGTAGCCATGGGCATGGGCAATCCTGCCCTGGAGCAGCCCTCGGACCCTGCCGACTGCAGGGCTTCCTGTGCAGGGGTGGGTGCCAGTGACTAGATGCCATTCATCTTAGGCGGCTCCGCCTGTGGGCTTCTGGTGGTTTCCAGGTCTGCCTCGTTGCAGCAATGTGAAGCCAAGGCTTTTCTCTAATCAGTATGACTGCTTCAGGTAAGTCTCACAGCTACTGGACCCCAAACTTGTCAGGACCTTTAGCATCTAATATTAAAACAAAGAGCAGGGAAGGCAGTGGTTCAGACCGCTTCACCAGACTTGCCCACGTCTGCCCAGAATGCTCTGGAGGATGAGGACTTGGGCAGCCTTCTTGTCTGGGTTACAAGGCTCAGCTCATCACTGCTAGTTTACACACCAACGTTCTCTCTCTCACACACTAGCATTCACAATGCGTCGGAACCTCAACCCTTAAGTCCTAAAGGAGAGTCCTGGTGAGATGTCCCCATCTGTGAAGCAAGAAGGCAGCAACAGTTAAGGAGTTACCCGTCCCTGCCTGGGCTAAGCGACAACTCTGGATTTAATGCCGAGAGCTCTCTTCCAGCTCTGCAGACCCTTAGGGCTGGAAGGATTGGATAGTCACGCGTGCAGATGCGGGCAGAGGGCTTCACCTGCTTGGGCCCTGGAGGAACTAGTTTCTGGGGCAACTGCTGAGCCTCATCTATCTGAGACTGGGCACCGTGCAAACCTCTGAGTTTCTAACAGGCATGAACTACAGGAAACACGAACTGTCCACCTTCAGACAACTAACCAGTGTACAGCAAAACTGTACAGAAATGGATGGATAATGCTCTGTGAGCCAACAAAGATGCCAAATACTGTTGAAAAACAAAAGTTACCTCATCTCTTACAAACAGCAACGCTCAGATAGGAGTAAACATGAACGGAACCAGCCAAGACATCAGATGTTGAAACATGCCTTTTATCTCAGAATCTCATCTCAAGCAAGACCAACCCTCTCCCCACCCCCAAAATTAGTAGGAAAAGCATTGCCTTACGTCACCCTCTCCACCACAAACCTACCCAGTGATGACAGCAGCTTAAGTAAGAGGGAGGAATTACGACCATATCCTCAGCCTCGTCTTTCTCCGAGGACCTAACACAAGGCAAAGACACATTTGCAATTGGCACTGTTATTTTATTAGTACGAGTATACTGAAACAATAAACTTGTACTGGTATACAGACAATTTATTTAAAACAATTTTGTTCAAATTTTGAATCAAACATTGTTTTATTATAATAATGAAATAATTTCTACCTAGAAAACCTGCAAGCACCATCAAAGAAAGGGACCATAAAATTCAATAAACAGACTCGAGTGTATCCTACAAATAGACACACCACGATTAGAAAATAGAATATGAATTCTTCCATTTTTTTTTAATATTTGTTTTAAAAAAGCTAGTGCAAGTACAATATTTTACACTGGAATTACAGAGAGTATGCACGCATATGGAAAAAAGTTCTCCTGTCACAATAGAAGCTCTTAACTATGTATGCACTTAAAATTTTCTTTTCAATAAGGTGCAAAACATCATTCCTTCCCTAGTTCTCCTCTGTACTGGCCATGTCAGTCTGATAGTGCCCTCAGAGGTCTAGTGTCTCTTTTCCCTTGGCCGGTGGGAGGCGTATGATGGGGAGGTTGGTGGGTGGTGAGCTGATACTAAAAAATACAACAGTGTGACTCTCAGAGATGGCTCTGGGACCAGGACCCCACTGGCTAGAAATTAGGACTCTCATCTTAACCAAAGGCCACCACGAATACTGGCTGGGCTCAACTGGAGCCTTTCAGCTGACACTGATTTGGGTTTACAGGGAGCAGTGAAGGCCGAGGAGGAAGAAACCTCCCCGAAAGGCCAAAAGGGCAGTTATTCACAGAACTGAATGCACAGGTATCAAGTTTAATGTTCACTGACTAAAGAATTCACCCCACTCCTGGACCGGATGATTTACGAGTGGGTGGTTCATGTAAGAAGCAGAGGAAACCTACACACCCAGCTTGGTAACCACTCAGATTTGCTATTCCGGAGGACAGAATGTTACCTCGGCAAGGATGACTGTAAACAGCACTTCCAAAGGGGGCCTTCAGACTGGCCATGGAAAAGGAGACTGGCTCATCGGCCATCCCAACAGCAAACGAACAAACTAAAGGGAAAGAAAACTTGGGTGAAATCTCCAATTATCTGCAGTGGAAGACTGGAGTCCTTTCAGATAAGAAAAGTGACGGGAATTCTTAAGAGACGGTTACTGTAGAGATACTACCTATTGGCCAAAAAGCACTTAATTTTAATACAGCTGAACCATTTGTATGCGAGTCATGAGGATATGAAAAACTGAAGCTGCTGTTCCCTCCCGCCATCGTACAGGTAAACGTCAGCTACCAGAAACGTCGCATGTAACGGTAAGGGAAGGGCTGAGATTCTGAATTTAAGAATTAGAGGGAGATTTGCTCAGTATCCCCCCAGCTGTCCAGTTTCTGCTGGCTAACTTGATTTCTGGACAGAATACGACTTCTGAGAAGTTGCTCCACATTTATTTTGGCCTCTTAATAGTAAAGAAAAAATCAAAACCAAAGTAAAACAAGGCATTTCAACTGAAATCCTTGTTTTACCCCACCCCCCATTGAACTGAGGTGTCGGGGGGGAAAGAAGGCTGAACGTTTCTGTGTGTGTGTCCTCGTAATGAGTCCTGTTTTCTTGGTAGCTAGGATCCCTTGTTACAAACACTTCTTGTTCAGAATTATATTCTTTGGGTTTATTGGAACAGGAAGTGCTGAAAATGTCAATCATCATCTCTGAAGAAAAAGGAGTTGCAATGGCTTAAGAGTTTAAGAAAGGGAGCTCAGAGAAGTACTTTCGGCATAGGAATGAACAGTATTCTCAAATTGCAGAATACAGAGTTACTCTCCCTCAGAAGAGGGTTCTATGTAACAGAAACATAGAGGAAGCATAGGTATAGTTGAAGAGCCTTTTACGTAGTAATTCTTCCAGGCCATAACCATACAAATCTGATCATTTAGACATGACACATTTCTATATACAAAAAAAACATGTAACTTTCAACCTTTGTTTTTTTTTTTTTACAAACAAGTATGAAACTCATTGTTTCAACAGATCCATATCTTTCAAACACTGAATGAATCATTTCGACATTCATTTTTCTTTTGTGCAATTTTTAAAAACATTACCTGTACTCCTCAAAGTGAGTGCTTCAAAGTTTTTTTTCTTCAGCTTCTCAAATTAGGTGTACATTAAAAAAAAAAAAAATCCCACAAGGTATAGTGCTACAAGAAAAGATCCTATCAGTAAGGTAACATATTTGAAGCGAGGTCATCTATGTAAAAGAAATCTCAGCTCCGGAGTAGAGGTGTGCAAACAGTTTGGAGTTTCCCTATCAACAGAAACACAACACTGTCCGTGGAAAAAAAGAGGAAACCAACCCAACACAATGGCATACGCATGTGCTTTATAAAAAAGTATATTCTCTGTATAGTTATTACTGGATGTGTTCTTAAAATTCTCTATTTCAGAAATTCTGGGTTGAAAACAAGGTGGAAGCAAAGACCTCCACTTCACTTTAAAAACCAAAAAGCATAATTCCCTTTGCTTTCACATCACCCCGAAGAAGCTGGATTGGGCCACAGAGACCGCTGGCCCTTTTTTCACCTGGGATCATCTCGGGTGACTAGGAGATAGGAAGTGCAAAGGGTTTTAGGAGAAAACAGACCATGGTTTGTCGAGCTGCCTGCAGTTCATGAAACAGTGGCCATGACAACCAGCACAGCTCAAAAAGCCTGGCCTTCAGTCCACAGAGCTCTGCTGCTTCACCCAGATCTGAAATAGCATGGCATTAGTGTCTTCAAAAGCATTTGAGATTCTTTTTCTCTCTCTATGAAATAGGTTTCCTTAGTAGTCACAGATGTTAAAGGGTATCATCAATTGTTTCCTTAAAAAAAAACAAACAAAAATTCCAAAGCTACACAACAAAAATAAATTTTGGCAACGTATTTCAGTAAAGATCAAACTATGTGCAAAGAGTGGATTTTATGATTACTAGGAGCTACTGTTCATCTTGAACATGCAGCATTATATTGCAATCTATGCAGTATCTAAGGAGAAATCCACAAGATGCAGGAAATCCAAACATTCCTTGAAGTTGTACATCCCTACTCCAGAAGAGTCAAAGTGCTGCTTCTGGACACATCAGTGTACCACACACACGCCAGCCCCGTCCCTGAGTTAGAGGTGTGAAAGGTTCCGCAGAGTTCCTTAGAGGGGAGAAGGAGGGGTGCTGCCACTTCCCGGTGGGGGACAAAACCCAACACACTCACCTAACAGAAAACACAAAGGGTCATGATTCAGAGTGAGAAATGGGATTGACGACAGCAATGAAAAAAAGAAAAAGCATCCCAAAACAAACTGGGTGAGTTGGAAAAGACAAAAAATTGACCAACATAGAAAATTATCCTGAACGTCCAAATGAAAAAGCAATTTTGGATTTCCACTTTAAAAGATTTGAGGTAAGTGGCATCCATCTCTGTATCCCCACCTCACCCCCAATGTGGCCCAGACAAACTGAAATAATTCTTAACGTTAAAACATTCTAAGGAAGGAACAGTCATTTTATATATTTAGAAATCCCTATAAAGAGAGGTTCATGTTTGTTGGTTGCTTGTTATTCTTTTTCTTTTCGCCCTGACTAATTTCTTGGTGATTGTGTTCCACTGTAAACGCAAAAGGCCTGCTGTTATTAGTTTCAAAATGGAAAACAGGAAAGAAAGAAGAACGAAAGACGGGTTCAGTAAATATTGCAAAGTGGACACAGTACAGAGGCACATGGCTGATCCTCGTAAGCTGCACGGCACGGAAGGGTTTCTATGCCTGTCATTGTTAGGTCGGCTACGCAGGCGCAGTGACAAAGGCTGCTCTGGGAGCCTTGGGGCTCGCCAGCGTCTGCACACAAGAGGAGGCCCCTGTCCTCTGGATGTTCTATTTGAAGAGAGAGCTGCCACAAAGGAGTGGTGACCATTGTTCGCAGGTGGCCCCTTCCGTAGCCACCGGCCGGACGCTTGGAAGGTGCGCACACGGCGGGCCACGCTTCCTGCCCGCGCCCAGAGGCTCGGCTCGAAGTCTCAAGGACACAGACCTGCCCACTCGCGGAAAAGATCGTGGAACATGGGTTGATCCTGGCACTATTGCTCCAGAGTGCGCCTCAGAAAGGACTCTGTCTCCCTCCCGTCTGCACTGCACATTCGCTACTCCTCGTGGTGACGGGGGAAGTGCCGTTCTCCCCTTCCACCTCCTTTGCTTGCTCTTTCTGCAACAAGGTGGCAGACAGGGCTCCCGAAAGAAAGCTCCCTGCCCCAGGATTCGGCATCCGCAGCAGGGCAAACGCGCAGCAGGAGGCCCTCCCCTTCCTGGCTCCTTCCTTCCAGCCCTTACTCTGGCCAGAACAGGAAAGAGGGACCGAGTAATGAAAAAGCCAAAAGGGTCTGAGCTTCCTCTAGAGCACACTGATCAGACTCTATTGGCACGGAAAGTATTGCACGTGCTAAAGAAGCAAGAAAGTGAAATGGGACAATGTTTAGAAAGAACCAATTATTTGATAATTCCTATACCTGAAACAGAAGCACAAAAACGATGATGATGTTCCTATTGCTCCAAACCACGTTATGTTTTTCCCATTTTAGTGTTGGAGGTGTGGATCCAGTTAGTTCGATACTCGAAAGAAGCCAGAAGGTGGTGGGTGTTTCTCTGAGTCCACATGAGTTGCTGTAATTAGTGGTACTGATGAGGACAAAGTCTATAATGGCAGCCCCATATTCCTCTTACCATCAAAACAAAAAGAAAAACAAAGCCTAATAATTGCAAGTGCCCTGAGCAGAATACATGGAAGATTAAGCAAGTTCTCTGAACAGAGACATTTAAAAAAATACAGCACTAAATAAGCAATATGACTGCAAGAATGGACTCACCCAGCTCTCTGCTAGCATGCTGAGAGGGTAATGAAAATCAAAGAAAGTCAAGGACTGGATCTAGCTATTCTAAACCTATTCCAATGTTTTTGGTACACCCCAGAAAATGGTTTGTAAAAATCATTAGTTCTGCTGAGAGCTAAATGTGAATACTAGATAGCCAAAATGTGGGTTATTAGAATTTTTTTTTAATTGGTGAAATGGAAAAAGTACTATTCTCAATGGTAAAAGAAAACTCAGGCATTTGTTCAGATAAGTTGCAGCCATTCCAAGTAAGAATATTTAAAAATTTCTCCCTCCTTATAAAACATTTTTTTTTTTAAAGCACTTTAAAATGCACACTCAAAACCCACAAACAATATTTCAGATCTCTGGGAATAAAAGGTTTCAACTGTGAAATACCCTTTCTGGGTTTGTACCAAACATTAAATCTTGATTTGATTTCAGATGGAAAAATAAAAGTCATTCTGAAAATAACATCAGTAACAACAACAAAGTAATCGTTTTCTTTTTAAAAAAAAAAAAAACTTGCTCACATACATAAACGTCTTTATGGAAAACTCTCTCAATGAATCTGAAGAAAATTCTCAGAGTTGTCCTGCTAAGACCTGGTTTTATGTGACAGATGCGGTAAGAAGACCAAAATGAATTCTGAAAGGAACATAACCTTATAAAATGGCCTAGAGTTTAGGCAGGTTAGAAAGTAATTTTGCTACATTTATTTATGCTCGTTCAGTCCCCCAAACCTTTCCCACAATGTTATTGGATAAAAACTGCAGGAATATCACACAAATTATAAACTCAAGATGTGCAAATCGCAAGGTTCTTTAAAAGTTCATCTTAAAAAGAAAAACACTGGACAAAAGTGAGTATTCTTTTTTCCATCCCTTTCCTCTCAGTTCCTCTGCCAGCTCTGCATATGCTTTTAATTCCTTCTCAAACATCAAAGTGAAGAGTGCCTCCTGTCAGGCTGTACTTGGTGGTCATTCATTGTCACATACTAGTTCAAAATTCACATTCATCCCATTAAACCACATTGAAACTTTCAACATCTTGCTCCGTGAGAAACTCTGCAGAGCTGAAATGTAGTTACAGTGTTGAAAAAAAAAAAGAAAGCAACTTAGTTTTTCTTCCCAAAGAGTTTAAAGTGAGATACAGTACTTGTTGAATGAGAGACCAAGATGCTTGGTAATAAAAGTGTGAACAGTATTTTAAGTGCTTAGAGATAGTAATATATATGCTCATCTTCAAAATCTAATTCCTCACGTCACACTGGAATCTGAAAAAAGTGGCACCCGAGTTGTCCATAGTCATGAACTACAAACAGTACTAGAGTTAAAAGACAGAAGATTTGCAAACCCAATGCGAAGAGCTTCTGCGGCTCTCTTGTGTCTATCTCTTGGGAGTGAAGTCAATGCGATTAACCTGATTGGTTTTCCTAACACTGCACAGAGACCAGGGTGGGTTTCACTCTCCACCACCCCCGCTGCCCACCCCCTGGGTGCGGAGCGATGGCAGCGGGGGCTGCCCTGCCCACCACGATGCCCTGGAGACATCACTGCACTAGTAAAGCAGAAACGAAATCCCACGGGTGGCAGTTGCTCTTTAAAAAAATATCAGTGCAGTCAGGCCCCATGGGGGGAATATATATCTCTATGATTAAAAGTCGCTTTTATTGTAAAATATGTTGGAGGAAAAAAAATGTTCTTTTACACGGTTAGTTTTCCATCTGCTGTCTTGACGGCCTCCCTGGGATGCCCTGAACCTGGGGTCCTGATGCTGATTTTGCACGTGAGAACCTCATGAGGACATGCCCCTGGACCTCCAATCCCGTGCTGAGAGCAAGAGAGAGGGAGGCAGAGAGAAAGAGACCCTCACCTGCCGTGGCACCCGGGCACCCTCACTTGCACGCACGCACGCACCCCCTGCAGCCCGTTGTCCCGAAACCGGGAGAAGTCGGCACCCCATGGGTGCATCTGCGCTGCTAGAAAAGGCAGGCACCGTGGGGCCACGTTCATTTCCACCAGGACGCCCGCCCACAGCCCGGGCTGGACCTGCCCCAGCCCCTGCCTGCCCACCCCATTGAGAGACACGCGTGGAAAAAGCATATGCACCATCTCCTGCCCAACCCCCGCTGTAACTCTAAGGACAAGGTTATAACAGAACCCTAAAGTAAGAGGATAACATGTAAATACTGTGTTATTTAGCCTACAGTACAGTAATCTGGATACAAATGATAAAGGAGGGCCAGATTTCCTTTCCCCACACGGCCTCTACTTGCCTACGTTAGAGCGGCCTTCAATGCAAATCTTAACCTCCTGAGAAATGAGAGAAGGCTTAGGAAGAGTCAAAGGTGGCTCGTCTTCAGACTTCTCCAGTTTGCGGCTCTCCGGCGCCGACCACCTCCTCTTCCTCGTGGCCGCGGGCTTGCTGGGTTCTATTTTGGTGAGCAAGGGCACGGCAGGCAATCCAATTTTTTCTGGAAACTTCAGTTCGCCATTCTCAGAGAGCATCTGGGCACTTCCCTGATTGATCCCGTTTTCCTGCTCGGCGTACCTGTGTCTACTGCCCGCGAGGCCGTCGGTCTTTGAGTGCTTCAGCAGGACACTGGCGGGATCCACGGCCTGGCCCTTTTTAACAGAGCCATTCTTCAGGTTCTTGAGGGTGAGCGAGATACAGACATCCCCAACGGAGAGTTTAGAACACGGCAAATCAAAGAGCTGGCTGGTTCTCTCCGGGCAACAGGATGACCAGCCCTGTCCAAACACAAAAAAAGGATACTCTACCAAAACTTCCACGCTGACCTGTGGGAACAGTGAGAGACAGGGAGAGGGAAGGGAAGGAAGAAATGAAGACATTTTATTCTTGTTTTATTGTATACATTACACGTACACAGACATACATACGCATAGGTGAATGGAAAAAAATAAGACTCAGTTCCCCAAACCTCCTCCACCAACAGATGCAAATGAGGTTCTTAACTTTCTGCTGTACCTGTACTTACCATATGTAGATGTTGGGTCGAAGCCGGTAGAAGTCCATTCAGCATTCAAAAATATCGTTTTACTGTGTATCAGCTCTACAGCTGGTCTCCATTAAAACAAGCCAGTGGAGCCCCAAGGATGACGGAACACCTACTTAGTGTTCGGCACTGGGCTAGGCGCTGCACGTGACTCAAGCCCAAGGTATATTCTTGTGTCTTATTAGCTCACTGGACAGATGCTATTCTCGTGTATAACAGGGCTGAATACGGATCAGAGTTAGATTGTATTTAAGCCCCATAAGGCAGGCACTTATGTGCTCACCACTGTGTCCCTGGCCCCTAAAAGAGTACCTGGCACATGGTTGAAACTTAATATTTACTGGATAAATGAATGCGTACTCTCGGAATTTAGGGGGAGCAGAATCAGGGAGGGCTGGAGAAAGCAGGGAGGGCTTTTCCAGGACCCCAAGGATGGGCAGGATTTGGAGTGGTTTGAGGGTGAAATGAATACAGACAGCTCAAGGGCTTGGCCCATCCACATGGGCAAGCCCCAGGTACTCAAATCAGTCTCCCTTTTGTTTGAAAAACAAATATCAAAAGCAGGGGAAGCCCAGTATCCTTTCAATACCTGCCGTTTTCTCTAGGCTACTATGTGCCATTCACTGTGATGAATTTCAAGAAATTGAAAACAATAGTCTTGGTCACAAAGGAGTTCACAATCCAATGGGCAAAAGAGGCACATGCACGATAACTGCCGATCAACGTGGCGAGTGTGGTCGCAGAGTGGGGCTCTACTACTCTGCATGGGATTACGCTGTCGGAGGGCAGAGGAAAGGCATGGAAGAGGTGAGTAAGGAAGTCTTTTGGGATGAGGATACACTGTGCTGAGTTTTAAAAAACAATGGGACTGGAGGAGAGAGGAATGATTGCAAGGAGAAGACAGTCCTGGAGGTAGGGTTATGTGAACAAAGGCAAGGAGGTGGTCTGTGTAGGGATTTGCAAACTTCCAGTGCAAGTATTACTACTGCCATCAAATCAAGTTGAAATGCACTTGAGGTTTGAACAGTTTAATTTTCATAGAAATTTAATTTCTTCAACTTTATGCTATATAAAAAAGAAAAAGAGAAGAATGAAGTAGTTTTAAACAGTCGGTTTTCAATGGCTTTTGTAGATGTAGTAGACCAGTTAATTTGGACCAACCTTCCTGATGAGGACCACTAAATACTCTAAACAAAAATAACTCTGGACAAAATGTAAAAGAAATATGTTTTTCTTATGGCAGTAGACACAAAATATGCCAGTAAAAAAGCCATTGGGTCAGGATCAGGAAAGGGTGTTGGCCAGACATTTGAACCCGGTGTTTGATGCTATTTCCCCCTAAGGATATCTGTACATTCCAAAGTGGGGCAGTTACAGTGAGCTTTGGGTAATCTCAAGAGCATGGGAGGTGGGTTTCAGCGGGCAGGGAACGGAATTCAGGGTAAGCCACAGGAGGGTGCTCCCTCAAAGCACTGAATTCTAGAAATAAGGTGAAGCAGAAGCAGACAGTTCCTCTCAATGTCTGAAGCTCAGATTTTAATCATCTCATTCATCCCTAAAATTAAATTAAGGTCTTGAATTATTTCCACAATTTTTCAAATAAAAGACGTTCAATTAAAAAAGGGGGAGGAGGTCCATGAGCAGATGAGATGAATAAAAACCAGCAGAAACAACAGATACTATAAACAGACCCACAGGGGCTTCTAATATAGAGTCACCAGATGTAGACTTTAAAATGACTATGTTTACAATATTTAAGGAGCTCAAAGACAAAGTTGAGGATTCTGACAGAGAACTAGAATCTATTTTTTTAAAAGATCCATGGAAATTCTAGAATGAAAAAAAAATACAGCCACTAAAAGCAAGAATGCAATGGATTTTACCACAGAATAAACATGGTTTAAGAGAGAATTAGTGAACTGGATTTTTTAATTATAGAGATTTAGAAGAAACTATACAGAATAAAACACAAAGACAAAAGGATGGCTAATACAGAGGAAAGGGTATGAGACATAGAAGACTCATTGAGAAGACCTAACAGACACATAATTTGAATCCTACAAGGAGGAGAGAGAGAAGATAATGGCTAAGAATTTTCTGATACTGATAAGAGACAATAAACCACAGATTCAAGAAGGTCAAAACCCCAAGCAGGAAAAATAAAAGGAAATTCTCACCTCAGCAGGTCATAGTTTAACTGCTGTAAATCAAAGTCAGGAAAAGAAAATCTTAAAAGCCCCCAGAACAAAATATACATTACCTCCAAATAAGCAAGAGTTAAATTTATAGTTGACTCCTCAATAAAAATAATAGAAGCTAGAAGACAATGGAATATCTTTAAAGTACTGAAGAAGAACTGCCAACCAAGACTTCTACACTGAGCAAAAAGATCCTGCAAGAATGAAGGCAAAATAAAGACATTTTTTCAGATAAGTAATAATTGAGACAATTCACCATCAACAGATCTGCATTAAAGAAAATACTAAAGAGTTCTTCAGGTAGAGGAAAAATGAATCTAGATGGAAGTTTGCAGATGCAGGGAGGAATGAAGAACAATGAAAATGGTAGATGTGTGAGCAAATTAAAATAATATGGTTGTCCCTCAGTATCCACAGGAGATTTGTTCTAGGACTCCCCAAGTATACCATAATCCAAGGATGCTCAAGTCCATTATATAAAATGGCACAGTATTTGCGTATAACCTACGCACATCCTCTGTATACATTAAATCATCTACATTACTTAAAATACAATGTAAATGCTATGTGAATAGTTGCCTGGGAACTATCCAAGTTTGAGGAAATTCAAGTTTTGCTTTTTGGAACTTTCTAGAATTTTTTGCCCATAAATATTTTCAATCTGTGGTTGGTTGAATCCGCAGATGTGGAATCCACAGATATGCAGAGCTGACTGTATTGACTAAATACAAGAATATTGAAAATGTTCTGCTGAATTTCATACACAGGCACACATACAGAAACATAAATAATTAAAATATCCCACTTTAAATGTAGTGAATTTCCATGTAATTTACATGGATTGTGGCTTTTCTACTTAACCGCTTTATCTTTTTTTGATAACTATGATTAATCCAGTTTTAGATACACTTTTTGAATGGTATACTTTATTTGCTCCATAGAAGACCTAAGTGTTTTTAGAAAAAACAACTAGAATGAATTTATATGGAAGCCTATTACTATAGTGTGTATGTGAGCATGAGTCCATATAAATGTGCATGTTATCAGGGGGAAGTTTCATTGCTCTGGGTTATCTTAATAACGTAAAGAGAATGAAAAATTTTTGAGTTTCTACCATGTCAAACGTTCAGGTACCCACTTTACAAAAAGCGTTTTGTTTGATACAATATACTAAGTGAGAAAAATACCGTTGTTCTAATTTTACAAATAAGGAACTATAGTTTCAGAGAGATTAAATCACTTGCCTAACGTCATGACTATATACTGATGGAGTTGGAATTTAATCCCTGTCTCTTTGGCCCCCAAACCCATTTTCTTTTTCCTATGTTCCTGATCTCTGCCCCTGTGAACAAAGGTATTGTAATACCATCAGAAGACATGACCTTAACATTTCCACTGCTCCAAAAGTGGGGAATGTTACTTGAAATAAATAGGATCCAATGACCAGAGGTCATGGATTTTTTTCCTGATACAAAAAGTTGTGAAATAGCATCAGCCTTATTACATCTACTATGCAAATCAAGTCTCTCTATATAAGTGTCACGAGGCTGATCAGAACTACATTCACATCACACATATATATTTGCATGTACATACGTACAAATATACTTACAAGTAATAGTATCGGATGGGGATGCCAACTGAGTTCCAAGTGGGAGGACCCACCTGGAGCTGGCTCCATAAATCCTGTCCCAAACCTCTTAAAGCCATTAACATCATACACTGAGCAGAGGGAACAAATCCTACTTCAAGTGGCGACTGTTTGTCTGCGTTTCCTAGATGATCCCCTGCTCTTGGGCAGAGTCTCACTGACAGACAGCCCAACACCCACTAACGAACAAGTTCTCGCTGTGTGAGCCATATTATACACATTCCTCAGAGCAGCCAATATTCAGGTTCTGAAAATAACTTCTACTGTATACAAATCTATTCGAAGACTTTCACATGTTGCCAAGTATCTGCAGACTCACTGAGAAGAAATGGCTTCAAAGCCTTTGTGACAAGTAACCTTACTGATGATTCTGTAAGCTGTGATATAGATGCACATCCTCCCCATTACATACACCATATTTTGGGGCATTTTGAAAGCCCTTCGTTATTCCCCGAACTATGAAGGCAGGTCTTAGAATTAAATGCTGTGAGATGGTCGATAGCTTGAACAGCCTACTTAAAACTTCATGAAAGAAAAGAAGTGATGAAAGAGAATACATGAGAGGCGCTGAAAAGAGCCAATGATAATGGGATTTATTTATTTATTTATTTTGGGAGGTACGCGGGCCTCTCACTGTTGTGGCCTCTCCCGTTGCGGAGCACAGGCTCCGGACGCGCAGGCTCAGTGGCCATGGCTCACGGGCCCAGCCACTCAGCAGCACGTGGGATCTTCCCGGACCGGGGCACGAACCCGCGTCCCCTGCATCAGCAGGCGGACTCTCCACCACTGAGCCACCAGGGAATCCCAATAATGGGATTTATTTTAACCTAGAGAACTTTGGGCAAATTTTCTCTGTCACTTCAAAGGCTTGCCTTTGGTCCCTTCCTCCTAAATTCTGGCTTTGTCTTCTCCCAAAAGTGATTTGCCCTTCTGGGAAAAGAATGCCACCCCCTCAGCTGGGTCCACACAGATCAGGAGCAAAAGATTCAGATAAATCTGATCATTGTAAGCAGTGGACTGGATGGCTCAGGCCACATGTTATTTTTCTCCTAATTATTTACCCTCGCTAATATTTATCCTCACGAATATTCTTCCCACCCTAATTATGTACCCTGAATTATCTAGATAATGCACTTTTTTTTTTTTTTTGGTCTGCATATATGTGAACTAAAGTAAGTTTTTGCCCTTTCATTAGAAAAAGTTAAACTCTTCTTGCACATATCTCAAATAAGCACACGAAAGTAAGTCATAATAAATCTATTTCAATTTCGTATTTAGGTTTGTCAGAAGGACATAAACATTCTTAAAGATTAACTGATCATTAACAGTTAATGAACAAATCATACCGACAGATTTTTCAGTGAGAAAAATGGTTGGGTCTGTCCTCTTGAAACTCCCTTGGAGAGGAACATTATTTGCTTCAAAACATGTTGTCAGTGCCAGTGGGGTACTATTTTGATGGTAGGATCTTGTGACATGTTGTCACTTTAAACCAGAAATGAGTCTGAATTAGTTGAATTTGAGGTCCATGTGGGTCTCCCTCTGGGTGCTGAGAAATATTGTGTTCACACTTGAGGTTTTGCAGTTTTAATAAAGTTCAAAATCTAACACCGAGCACCTGCGAAGTGTTAGGGACTTACTGTTTAAGACCTAGTACTTGCCTTCAGTGAGGAGCCAGAACACGTATGCAAAACAAGTGACTTCACCAGGGCATACGTGGATACTGGCAACCATGTTACCTGGTGATGTCCACTTGGCTATCTACGGGCAACTCAAACTTAACGTGTCCCAAACAGACCTCTTCATATTCCCCTGCCCACTGGCACCTCCTGGGTTCCTCCCCACCTCCAGGGGCAGCGTCCCCATTGTTCCAGGGTTCAGGTCAACGGCCTGGGCATCATACTTTACTCGACTCCTTCTCCCAGACCACACACATCCAAATCATAAGCAAATCCCATTGGTTCTCTTCCAACTACAGCTAGAATGAGACCATTTCTCACTGCTTCCACCTCCACAGTCCTGGCCAAGCCAGCTTCTCTCAAGGGGAGAAAAAGCCTCCGTGAATAAGCCTGGCGTGGTCTGCATCCCACCCCCTCCTCCCTGCACTGTAGTGACACTGGTCTCCCTGTTGGTCCTTTCACTCCAAAACACTCGTGCCTCTGGGTCTGTGCATCTGCTATTCCCTCCATGTGGAGTCCGTTCTGCCCTGTGTCCTCCCGTTCCCCTTCTCAGAGACAGCGTCACCGACCACCTATTTAAAATAACTACCCTCCGGGCTTCCCTGGTGGCGCAGTGGTTGAGAGTCCGCCTGCCGATGCAGGGGACACGGGTTCGTGCCCCAGTCCGGGAAGATCCCACGTGCCGCGGAGCGGCTGGGCCCGGGAGCCATGGCCACTGAGCCTGCGCGACCGGAGCCTGTGCTCCGCAACGAGAGAGGCCACAACAGTGAGAGGCTCGCGTACCGCCAAAAAAAAAAAAAAAAAAAAAAAATCAAAAAAAAAAAAAAACCCTACCCTCCATCCTTATCTTCCCCACCCCCACTAGGCTGCTTTACTTTTTTCCCATAGCACTTATTATCTTTCGATGCATTATTTTGTTTACTTCCATATTTGTCTGTTTCACCTCTTCCCATAAACTCCCTTAAGACTATATGTTCCATGGGGGCTGAGATATTGCCTGCTTTGCTCGTTGTTCCATCCCCAGGGTACAGAATACTTCCTGGCATGTAATAGGTGCTCAGTACAAATCGGAAAGACTATGCCTTCCACGTGTCAAAAACTCCGCAGTGGCACTACTGGCCAACAGAGGTCAATGTTTAGACGCTGGAGAGGCTCTGCCTGGCCTTGCTTCCACCAGCCAGGACTAAACTGGGCTTACAATCCTCCCCAGGGAGAGGGGCTGCGCCTTCCCTGGGTCTTGCTGCTCAGCCCCCAACAGACAGCTTTCCTGGCTGAGGCACAGCTGCCTCACTCCACGTTCCCCTGTCAGTCAGATGCTGAGCTCACCCTGATTTCACTGAACCACACTTCAGTTACTTTCTCTCCAATCTTGAGGTTCCTTTTTGCTCTTTCAGCCAGGCTAATAACCATTAATTCACTTTATGATCTTGTGGGGGTTCAGACAGATTAAACTCCAATGAAAATAAACTCATGGGGGCAGTACCATATAAAGTCAAAGCATGTTACATAACTCCTGGCAGCTCGACACAGTCCTTTTTTTTTCATCCCATAAATATATCCTTTTCCAAACACTTTAAGCAGTCTGGAAGATGAAATGGGAGCATGAAGAGCCTTTGTCCTGGTGTCAGCTTGAGGCCCCTCTGCCTTTCATCTCTGGATGTCTTGTATCCAGCACCTCTCTTTTTTAGGGGTGATCACCTCCCATCCTCCTGTACCCTCTTCCCGCCCTCCTCTGGCTGCTGCAGGCACGCCCGTCGCTCACCACTGCTCCAGAGAGAAACCTGCCCTCCCCTCCCTCCCTCCCTCCCGCCCCGCTAAACCAACTCCTCTAAAACGATCACCTCCAGCTTCCATTCAGGATGAAGAAACCAAGACAGGGAGGCAACACATCCTCACTTCTGGGCTGATAATTATTTATTCCATGTCACCTTCCTGTGTTCAGCAAAATTCCTTTAGCTACTTAGTTAAAGACTACTGTATCTAAACAATGCATGCATATACGCATACTTATGCTGTTTGGTTGTACTTTTCAATGGTAGATTGGTGCTATGTCTATATACACAAATATGTACATATCACCAAAAGCAAGATATAAAGAAAACAAAAGGTCTGTTGCTTAACTTTGTCTCCATTTTCCTTCACGAGAATCCCTGTTTTCACATATGCGAAGGGCATCTGTTTTACAAAACGTTTTTGCTTGAGCCTATCACAAATGTACAAATTCTGCCTGCATCTGGGAGCAAGGACATCGCTCAGAAGCTGGGTTTCAGTGATGACGTCTTGCTCTTGGTGAAATGATTACATTGGGAATCCCTAACTTTGTCTGCAAGTGACGTTCTTGGTCTGTTTCACCTGCAGAGAAAAGCCAGTCTGCTTTCCTCGAAGGCCAGTTTGCACAACCACATTCCACACATCAAGAAAATCAGAGAACCCTGGAACAAAGACGGAGGGGCTGACGGAGAGCCCCATTTACTTCGACGTTGAAAGATCATTAATAAAAAGTCACACCTCTTCAGTCGAGTGTAAGAGCGTCGGTGAGTGTTCTATTTAAAACATTTCATCACATTTGCGCTAAGCCTGACTCAGTCTTTGGTGGAAGCTGTTTCATTGAACCCACATCCCCGCGCAGAGACGCCTCCAAACACAAACCCCAAGTGACGGAGGAGCTAGGTTCTTCTCGCATTGTCGCTTGGCTCCCAGGGCCTCCACGGGACCCAAGCAGCAGGTGACCAGGGCAGGTCTGGGACACACGGGTCTATCCCACTTGCCCTCCTCCCCTGGGGTCTTAAAATGTGTGCCTGAAAGAACTACGGCATGTTATTTAGGGCTAAAAAGAAATGAGCTCTCAAAGCCACAAAAAGACACGGCAGCACCTTAAACGCATGTTGCCAAGTGAAAGAAGCCAGTCTGAAAAGGCTACATACTATAGGAGTCCAACTGCATGACATTCTGGAAAAGGCAGAACTACAGAGATGGAAACTGATCAGTGGTTGCCAGGGGTGTGGGGTGGAGTACCGATAGGTGAAGCAGGAAGGATTTTTAGGGTGGGGAAACCAGTTTCTAGGACACTGGGAGGCTGGATGCGTGATATTACACATTTATGAAAACCCACAGAATGTACAGCACAGAGTAAACCCTAATGTGAAGCATGGACTTTAGTTAATAACCATGTATCAATTTAGCTTATCAATTGTCACAAGTAAACCACAAAAATGCAAGATTTTAATAACAGGGGAAACTTCAGGCATCTGGGAACTCTCTGTACTTTCTGCTCAATTTTTTGTAAACCTGAAACTACATCCAACAATAAAGTCTATTTTTTAAAAAGCTATAAACAACAAGGGTCTTAGAGAATCTGCTTCAGTAAAACACGTAATGGCTTCCCTGGTGGTGCAGTGGTTAAGAACCCGCCTGCCAATGCAGGGGACACGGGTTCGAGCCCTGGTCCGGGAAGATCCCACATGCCGCGGAGCAACTAAGCCTGTGCACCACAACTACTGAGCCTGCGCTCTAGAGCCCGTGAGCCACAACTGCTGAGCCCATGCGCCTAGAGCCTGTGCTCTGCAACGAGAAGCCACTGCAATGAAGAGTAGCCCCCGCTCACCGCAACTAGAGAAAGCCCGCACGCAGCAACGAAGACCCAACACAGCCAAAAAAAAAAAAATTCCTCTTTGCCTTTAAATAAATAAATAAATAAATAAAATAACACATGTAAGATCCCCAAGCTGGGGGCACTTACATCACACACAGGCTAAAGGAGAGCATTTTTCTTCTTTTGTGGGGAGGGGGAGGGAACACACACACACAAACAAAAATGTGTCCGATACCATTTCTCTGCTGGAGCCTTTCTGGCATTAGAACTGAATGGATTCTCACCAATCACTGGACCCCAGGCCCGGTAATGAGCTTTGCTTTGAGGGAAGCCACTACCTATTTTCTGATTCATTAGGGTTCATATCCACCAAGCCCTACATGTAAAATGTTTGGCAAGTTGGTTTGCCTTGGCTGCTAAGGGACCACACAGGCTTCTGCTTGGCTTGCATGAGGACTCTGGCTATTTTTAGGCACCAACTAATCCATTAAATGCATAATGCTGCCACTGACGGCTCACAGAACGTGGCAGTCAAAATAAAAAATAGCGGAATGAAAGAAAAGCCATCAGTAGACATGCAGTGATCACGTCATTATAACACGCTGTAAAGGTGTGCGTGCGTACACACACACACACACACACACACACACACACGACAGTCAGGAGAAGGAAATGGCACGGAATAGTAAGCAGCCACCAAGGAGGTAAAAGGAAGCAGTCACCTTCCCGAACCTGGGACGCGACAGGCAGCCCTAATAACAGACGGAGGCCGGCACTTAGGTAAAACGCAGTCAACGACAAGTGTCACCCCAGAGCAGCTCACAGATAAAATGTACTACAATTCTGACAAAATGCTGTGTGCTCTTCAGAAACGTTGAGCCTGGGAAGAATGAGATGGAGGGGTCGGGTGGCTGCTCAGACAGAACACTGTTTGCCAGATGGAAGCCCAGGGCCCCCCAGGGGGCGCCATCCCGGGCAGGAGGTCCCCCAGCGGGCGTGATGCTTAAATCCTCTCTGCAAAAGAAAGGGGCAGGAGCCCGTTTCTGCACCGGTCCTCTTACTGATGTGCAGAGTGGGCCACCCAACGACCCCTCCAGTCCAGCTCACGCTCAGGAAAACGCAGACTGTGTTACAGGCACACAGGCTAGCATGAGGTCACGGAGCCTTCCTCAGAGAAGCAGCAGGATGGGTACTCCTGGGCCACTCAGGGGAACATGCCACAGGAACAGAGGCAGCGTAAAATGGCTCACTGTGCTCACTGGAAATGGTCAGCCTTCTTTCTAGACTTTTCTAAACTGTCTCTCCTTCCATAAACTCTTTGGAGAGAATGAAGCCTTTTATTCATTTTTCAAAAGCTAACCTTTCTCTTCTCAGGGCCAAAGTCACCCAAGTGGAAGCAGGGAAAGGAAACTAACATTGGCGAGGGCCTACTACGCGCTACCTACTGTGCTGGTTCCTTCGAACGTATTTCCTTTCATTCGTCTGACAACCTTCTTTCTTTGCACTACGGCGTAAACCGAATGGAAGGCTCATACGTATTTGTACCGTGAAGTGTGTGTGCACTGATCTGTACATGGTTTGCACAAGCTCCAGAGTGGTGGATCCAGGTCCTGCGTTTTCTGACCAGCTAACCTGCTTCCCACCCAAGCAGACCACGCTCCATCCTCCAGCCGCATCACACTGGCTCCCACGTTGATGCTATCACCTGGGGATCCCTTCTGGGACTCGCCACGGACTAAGGAGACCACAGGTGGCTACGAAGAGGCTTCATGTGGTGCGCACAGGCTAACAGACAATGCCTGGGATGCCCTTTTTGCTCCCACGGCACCGGGGTGGGGGAACTTGGATGCAAGGACGCTTTGCCTGGGCCGAGAAATACTGCACTGGGTAGGACAAAACCTCACGGATGGTGACGAACACACAAAAGCATTTTTCTCCTACGCTGCCTCATCTGGAGCTTTAGCTGGAGACCACCCTGGAGGTGTCTTTCACACAATAATAATTAGGAATTTGGCTCCTGAAAACAATGCCCTCAGTGAAAACTCCCTTGGCTCTATCAGGATGGCTTTCCTTCCAACGAGGTCTATGTGCTGATTATAAGCATGAAGTCAGGGAAGTTTCCCTTTATGTCCCCCCTTTGGTTTTTGCTTACTGGATGCTAGTAAATTTTATAAGAGCTGTTCTGCACGGCAGGAACGCAAGGGATCACAAAAACGAGAAGAGGCCCAAGATATGATCTTGTATAAGGAATCATTTGCCCATTTTAGCGATGAGAAAACCCCCAGCTCTGAGAGGTGAGACCACTTGCCTTGCAGCCAACCAGACCCCAGCTCGTGGCTTCTCCCCACCAGCCACACGACATTCACCGGGGATGCCCGTGGTTGTTTACGAACTCAAGCATCCCTGTGGTCCTGCTTCCGTGCAGGATTTATGCCGGGGGTCATAAAGCCATCTGTCCTCTAGCAAACCACCCCTTCCTTCCACAACTTCCCCAATCCAATTTGTGAGTTTGCTAATTAAGTGCAACACTTTGCATGTTTCTAAATCTCCCTGTGGGTGCAAGTGTTAGTGATTTCGAATCCACTGAGCAGACAGACCAGGGGAGAAAACCCCACCGAGTGCCGCTGAGGATGGAGGGAAGTCCTCAGCCCTCAGAGTGTAAATTAAATCCAGGCCTTTGTTTTCTGTCTCCCTTCCCTCTCCCCCTCTCGCTTCCTCTGCTTCCCTCCTGACTCTGCTCCTGTCACTTGTGGTAAACACAGCTGGTGGAGTATTTTAGCTGTGATGACGTCAGCCTGTTTCTGATAGGCTTCGGGGTAAAGTGACAAATCACTGGTGGTGTCGGGGCCCCGCACTTGTGTTTCTACAGCGTGAAACTCCAGCCACCCTTTGGAGCCGAAGCCGCAGACCTGTGAGCAGGCCCTGACAAACACGCTGCCTTCTAATTTGCACCTTGGCTGTCAGCGAGGAGACTGGTGGTCTGGCGATGGGAAGGAAATGAGACTTCCCGCATGGAAGCCGACTTCACCATCGTTTAAGCGTTCACTCTGCAAAGGATCGAGCGAGGCAAACACAGAGAGATGCTTCCTCTCTAAGAGCTGCCGGGTCGGGTCGATGTGAAACCTAGAGGTCTGTGAAGCTCCTGATGACTATGGAGGCTGCCGGGGCCTTGGAGATGAGCCCTCAGCTCAGAGCTGCTCTTTACTGGAAGAGATGCTAGGCCGGAGACAGCAGCATTTTCAAAATCACCCCTATTTCCATGCCTACCTCTCTTCACAGTAGTGCTTTAAGGATTAAAAGGACCATGAAAAAACACGTTTACTTCTCCTTCTTATTTTCCAGGCTTCACCTGGGGTCTGTTAAAAGACAACTTTGCTAAAGACAGCTTGTTCTTTCAGCTAGTATCCATCCACCCCTAATCCATATAGGACAGTAGGAGTGAGCAGAAACTACAGACGGGTAGTGAGTTCTAAATAATGATGCTCTTTTCCAAATATTCTCATTTTTGCTATATATATAATTTTTTTTTTAATCAGAACTCTGAGAAATCTTTCTTGGGCCTTACGAAAGGCTACAGCAACATCTCACCATAAAAAAAGAAAAGTCTTCGGGGCTAAAAGCTCCTGGCAACACAGGTCCCCTGATATCGTGCACGATCCCACATCCGGACATTCACCAGCAGTTCTGGAAAATGCTTTGGAAAATCGGGCTCCCCTACCTCACTTGATCTTTTTCTTTTAAATATACTAAAAACAATTCAAACCATTAACTAGTTTGTTTATTTTCTTTGAATGTCCCAAATACCAGCTATGCCATGACCATTTTTCAACTCACTTCAACCTGAAGGAGGTGCTGTCACATCTGAGTGTTTCAAAGTCCTCAGTGAGGGGCTTCCCTGGTGGTGCAGTGGTTGAGAGTCTGCCTGCCGATGCAGGGGACACGGGTTCGTGTCCCGGTCCGGGAAGATCCCACATGCCGCAGAGCGGCTGGGCCCGTGAGCCATGGCCGCTGAGCCGGCGCGTCCGGAGCCTGTGCTCCGCAACGGGAGAGGCCACAGCAGTGAGAGGCCCGCGTACCACAAAAAAAAAAAAAGGCCTCAGTGAAACCATTCCCAGAGGGAGTGAGTCTCTACCATCCACCAGGGCAGTTCCTGGCCTCGGGGCCAAACCTGATTGACTCCAAGCAAGCTAGGCAGTGAAACTGCTGTTTCATACAAATGGGCAGAATAAATGCATTCAAGTGATTTAAGAAACTGGAAAAGAGTGGACTGAAGGAACCCATGGAAATTAAGAGAGCTAATCATAGTTCCAGTTTTAACATGACTCAGCTTGGCTACATCTGGTCCTTGGGGTTCCTATATATCAGAAGTCCAGGAGCTCACCTGGGACAGCCCTGACTTTGCAGACTATATTAACCATGCCTTTTATTCTCTATATCTGATGCTTTGGCATCTTGGGGCCTTGTTGACTCTGGAGGGACTGTGCCTCCCTGGGTTAGCTCATTGCTAGAGATAGCTGACAGCTCACCTGCCTGGGAGAATGTCCTTCATATGCAAAGCAAACACCCACAACCCAGCCACCTCCTCTATGGAGCTTTCACTCTCTGGGCCACTATCCACCAGCCCTAATCATCCCAGGGCCAGGTACCAGACACCCGGGGACAGCTCCTGTGCCCAGGGCCTGCTGAAATGATTCCAACTAGCCAATCCTAAGTCTGCCTACCCTGCCTCACCCACTCCTTCCCCCTGAAACCACAATCAAGGCTCTTGCCCATGTTTTCTCACTCCCAGTGCCTCCTGGCTGACCCTGGGGCTTCCCCATGTGGCCCTGCATGGCACGGCACAAACCCTCCTCTTGGCATCTGAGTAGAACAAACTGTCTTTTCAATGGCAGTTGTATTCTCATCTGTCGGCCTCACCATACCTAAATAATAACAAAACCTACATGTTACAACACAGACGTGTAATGGGGTGTGGCCACTCTGGGCATTTAACATTCTCACCTTAACTAGCACTGTCTTTTCCTGACCAAAAGAAGGGGGGGGGGGAGGGGAACAGATGACTTTTCTTAATCAGGGTTCCTCATCTAAACCACAGAACAAAAAAATAACTTGAGTGGCGATCTTCTTAATTGTCCCAAGAATGGTACCTGACCAGCCCCACTCTAGACACAGAGAAGTTAATTCATTACAAACAGCAGGTGCTTTGGTGTACGAGGGCTTAATTCTCTTAGAGAACGTGGTTGGGAAACGTGACGAGTCTAACTTCCAGGTGTAAATGAAAACCCTCCATCATCCCCACAGCCACTGACAGGTCTGCCTCTTGGAAGAAATTCACTGTGCCGGGAAGCGATGAAGGTGGTGCGGCGGGGTGTCCCCCTACCTGTGTGATCCGGATGAACTTTACCTGTGCTCGGTGATCCCCGACAGCGAACTGTATCACAGCAACGCCCGGGCTGTGGCTGTCCTCGATCCTCTCCACAGTGCTGGAGTCGATCTTCAGGTCGTTGCTGATCTCTGCACTCTGGATGAAGTCTTCCGTTTTTAAGTCCTCCACCTTCTTCAGCTCCCCGTTGGCCAGCTGGATGATGGAGCCTTTCATGAAGTAGGGAGGCAGCGTAGGGGGCGCGGCTGCAGGGGATGCCACCGACTGCACCACAGGCAGGTGGATCTGCGCCTGTACCATGGCTGGGTAGGCGGCCTGGGTGACCAGGGCCTCGGGGCTGAAGTTCTCGCTCTTGGGAAGGGCGGTGGTGACGAACGTGTGAGGCACTGCAGCAAACTGGGGCGACGACGTGACGATGGCCGAGGCCGCACCCGACCCCTCCATGTCAGCACTGCCCACAGGGATGAGCAGGGGCTGGGTGCCGGGGAGGACCAGGTGCGGGGGCAGGCCGCCGGCGTAGGTGATCGCTTGCTGCTGGCTGCTCAGGTAGCCGATGACGGGCGGCTGAGTCCCTGCGTAGAAGGCTGTGGCCGGCAGTCCAACCGGGAGGGGCTCCGAAGCACTGTGTGTGGTCTGAATGACCGTGTGGGGGGACAGCGTGGCGACGGCGGCGGCCTTCACGCCTTCGGGGCCCAGGGCCTGCTGGGGAGACAGCGCGTAGGATCGGTGCCCGGGCTTCCCTAGGTGCAGGCCGCTTTTGTCGTTGAGGGCGGAGGGGGAGGCCTCTCGGTGGGTGACCTGCTGCACCTCCAGGTCGGCGGCAGGGGTGCTACTGTTGGGCAGGACCATCACAGAGGCCCGCACCCCAGAGGAGTCGCGGCTGCCGTAGTCAGCAGGGCTGGGGTGGACCACCACGTGCCTGGACTCGTACGGGTGGGGAACGGCCTTGCCGCCCGCCTTCACCAGGCCCAGGTCGGCCGCGGTGGGCGCCCCATACCTGCGGCCCTTCTCCATCTCCCCGTTCAGGATCTCCTTGGCCTGCACGCCCTGCTGCAGCCGGCTGCTCTCGGCTTTCTTGGTGGCCTCGCGGGCGACAAAGTGGCTGCCGGTGTCGCTGTACTGCACGACGACCTGCGGGGAGGGCCCCAGGGTGAGCGTGTGCGGGATCATCGTCTGGTGCGGGTGCAGGTGGACGGGGATGGCCGGCGGGGAGGCCGGGCGCGCGGCGCTCTGCGGAGAGCTGGAGATGTGCATGTACTGGTTCTGCTGGGTGGGTGGTGGGGACCCGGGGGGCAGGAGCCCCGCGGTCCTGCCCAAGTGCTGCTGCTGCTCAGCCTTGTGTCCCGAGGCTTGGCTCAGACCGCCCATGTTGGCCAGCAGGGTAGAATAGGCCTCCAGCTGGGAGCGCTGGGATGGAGTGGCGGCCCCCGCGGCCGAGGCCACCGCACTGGTGACGGGGCTGGCCGTGGGGGAGATCAGCTGAGAAGGGATGAAGCCGGCGTAGGGCCCGCCGTACTGGGAAGAGCCGATGAACTGTAAGGTATGCGGCAGGTGGGCGTACTGCACGGGCGACACCGGGGCCCCGGACTGCGGGGGCGGGTACGCGGGCATCGTCGTGGTCGCCGGGACGGACCGGGGCGCGCTGGGCGGGGAGTAGTCCAGCCCCGCGGACAGCGCTTTGTGTAAACCTATTCCCTGCTGTAAACCGAGCTCTGCCGGGGGCCCCGCCGGCCCTAGCCGCCCGCCCGCGTGGCCCCGGCCGCTCGCGTGGCCCGGGAGCCATGCCACGCCCTCCGCGCGGTGGTTGTCGCTGGGCACAGCCGTGGCCTTGTCCTCCGAGGGCCGGCTGGTGGCGGGGATCTCGCGCTTCTTGGGAGGCAGGCATTCGTTACTGCGCTCTTGGTTGGATTTCATTTTTCGCCGTCCCCCCTCCACGGTGACCGTTTCACTCTCTGGCTGGCTCTGCTTTCAGTCTGATAAACGGAAAGTCACATTTGATTTCTGTAGGGGATCCAGGCTCTTCATGAGGAATCATCTCCCTGTGGGTGCGATCCGCCAGCAGCCGCCCTGGAATCTGGGAAAAGGAAGAGGGTCGGGACAAGGGGAAGAGGAGAGGGAGGAGAGAGGCGATCAGAACATCAGCACCGGAAAAGAACGTCCTCCTCAAGATTGAGACTAAGCTTCTGGTGTCAACGTGAATTCCAAACACACCCCCGCCCCTGCCCGCCCCCACATTAGAGCAGGTAAAACGCTGGCCGGCCGCGCTGTTTAGGACATCAGCAAGATCATTACAACATGCAAGTCAAAACCTCTTTTTTATAGATTTAGCAAGTCTCCTGAGACACCTCTCTCAATACCCTCTTCTCTTTTTCTCTTTCCAGAAGGTAGACAATGCGTTTCTTAGTTTCGCTTCCAGAAATGCCACTCCCACGCCTTAGCTCTTCTTTACCTCGCTGGGCAATCAAACAATGCCCACAAGGTGGGTGACACCGGTGAAGGTCAGCCAGACCTACCCTCTGAGCCAGGCACTGGGAGGACGAGGTTAGGAACGGAAATCCTCAGCGGACTTCATACCTTGTCTCTGAGTCCTCATCTGCCAAAGGCGCTACTCAGAGATTCCACTGACTCTGGGTCCATACTGGATCTACAATTCTCTCTTCCCTAACACACGCATGCATGCACGCACGTGCACACACACTATACACAGGCCAACTCAGCACAGGGAGCCCCAAATAATCGTGTTCTCTACAAGTTTCCAAACAACTCCCAGTACAGCTACTCACATGGTAACAGAAAGCCAAAAGGAATCTGTTTGACAGTTAAAACAAGAACATGGTTATGGTTTTAAAAAAATGCAATAAGCAGGCTGATGCATCGAGGGTGTCCTTAACGAGGGTGGCTTTATGCTTGCTCTACCTCTGCCTCTTACTTCCTTTCCAAGTGGTCTTTGAATTTTCTCTCCACACGCTCCATAAAGGGCCAATCCACCCTCAACCCTAGAGAGGAAACCTCTGCTGGGCCAATCAGGCCTGAGTGTTTCAACCTGGACATACAAGTAGTGAGCCTGGAGCCAGTTTTCATGGACACCTAATCTCAGTCTTTCAGGAACCACAGAACTCTGTTACCATGACTGTGTCGGCAGACAGATGCCCGCCTGGCAAGAGGCAGATCATCAATGGAACCAACAGGGACCAGGCTTACAGGCGGCAGCTGCAGCCGTGAGCCATGTCACGCGCTGTGACCCTGGGAAGCCCTGGATCAGGCTCTGGGAATTCCAGGCCCTGGGTTTTTAGCATTTCTCCTACGCAGACCTGCTTTTCTATAGTCTGATGTTAAAACAGACACAGTTAAGGAAGCAGTTTTCAGCACTACCCTCCCCGACCTAGGGCTTTGTAAGTCCCAGATAACTCCATTCTGTACAGCTTTCTCTTATGAAATGCATGGCACGTAATTTACACCCAATATGTGCAAATAGATTAAGATGACAATGCTATTTTCAAAACAATGATAGAATAAAATTAAACTACAAAAACTGAAAACAGCTGCCCCTTTTGACTACTTAAAAAGTACTGATACTGATCTTTTATCTCTAGGTTTTAAGTCGTGCTAAGAAAGAACTGCATAAACTCTGTTCCCACACAGACTAGCAAAGGAAAGTCATTTAGGAGATGGACTCAAAGCGAACTGCTCCATGCGCCCCCTGCTGGCTCCACAGCAGCACTGATCCAATAAAACCCCACAGGATTTCATTAGGGAAGTTCATGCTAGAGTAATATGTCAGAATCCGGAATGAGAATATAGTAGGCCCAGCCAGTAAGGCAATAGGTTAATTAGCCCAAGGCAGCTCTAGGGAAGAAAAAATAGCGGCATAAAAGTCCTTTCAAAGCCAAGTAAAATGTCAAATGCATTCAGAAAGAGGTCCATTAGCAATGCAAATGTAAAACTGCTGTACAACCGAATGCACCATACACAAACCTAGAAAACCCCTCTGAAGGTAGTTTTAAAAAAAGAACTCAGCTTTAGTGAATTTGAATACGAATGCTGACTTGGTTCTCAGCAGTGCCTTGGTGTATTTACACTGTGTTGTTTTTTGAAAGACACTGGCTGACTCAGTTGGCCCTAAAGATCTCAGTATAGATTCCATGGCTGGTCTTCTGCTAATGGACCAACTAGGACCATATCGGCCTTACCACACAAATATACTCTTCTTTAAAGTTGTCCATTGATAAACATCTTTTCCAGATAATACAAATGATAAATCAAGGATACAAAGGTTAACTGGAGCGACCTGGGGCCAAACTGATACAAATTTCAACACTCCCTCCTCCTACCTTTAGGAGAACCTTGTCTCCTATTTACCAGCGCAGCTTGGAGGAGTCGAGTCTCTCTAATTCTGGGGCATGTGTCCCTTTCTCTGTGTTTCATTAGCTCTCTATACTGTCTGTATCTCTCATCACGGGAAATCATCGTGAGGATAGGGACTGTATCTTGCTGTATTTTCAGTGAACCACGAGAGGGCGCCACAGGACGCCACCATGTCCCTGGTACATTGGATGATAGTTCATAAATTAAAAGAACAGAGAGGTAAATCGCGAAGGTGCAAAGTACAGCAGGGAAAAGGAAGGGAGAAAGAAAGAGACCAGGAAGAAGAGAAGAAAAAAGGAGAGTGGATGTCTGCTTTTAGGGTCTCTTTCTAGCTGCAGACACATGGTCTCCATGTCCCTCATTGCCTTTTCAGTGCTGAAACGCACCAGTGGTTCACCTGGGTCCCGGAGTTCACCTCCGGATGTACCTGTCACAACAAGAGACACGGGGCCACACACCACTGTATAACTGCTAAGTTACCGAAGAGCCACACATGCAGATCATAGGTTTCAACATTATTATTAGGAAAGGGGAAGTGAACAGGGAATTAATAGATGGATCGAGACAAATTTATTTAGGGCTTACTACATACAATTTGCCTGCTAATCGCTGTTCTGAATACATCCATCTTAAGCATCTTTATATCTACATTTGTATCTCTCTCATCAGTATCTTAAAATTTAGCTCAGTGGCAATAAGACCTTGCTGTTCCAAGTGTGGTCCTCAGACTAGCTCCCCCGGCAGCTTTAGAAAAGCAGAACCTCAGGCCCCACCCAAACCTCCTGATTTCAGAGTCTGCATTTTAACAACACCTCCAGATGATTCATATGCACAGCAAGGTGTGAGAAACTCGGCTTGTCTGCATAAGCTTCTAAGTAAAGTAAACGTCTGGAGCCTCTTCTGATGGAGTAGGTGCTGGGAAACCAAACTAGGTGCTGTGAGCAAACAGAATCGATGGAGCCTTGGAGATAAGCAGCTAATATTTAGGGAGAACTCAGCTGTTTACTTTGGGGTCACCTAGACCCAATACAGTTCTAAGTAACAGATGCTCCTTTTCTTCTGGCTCTTTCCATCTTCAAGAACTATAAGGAAATACACCTCAAAAAGGCTGTTATTGTACATTTTATGGATAATTCGATCATCTCCAGGAGAAAAGACAGACTTTAATAAAGGAAGATATTTATATCTTTGATATCATTCAAAAATCCCCAGAGCCCCCCCCACCCCCATTAACGTGGATTCAGATTGCTTCAGAAGTGTTAGGAAAATGAGATGATCCCCACTGATTTCGAGTCCTGTAAATAACAACCAACTGCTCTGAATGGAAGACACTCCTAGAATCTGATACATACAGTCCTAAAAATGCATTCCAAGGTCAGGGCAATAAACTAGGTTGCTCTGTCCAGCACCCTCCATCCTGCGAGTTTCTCAGTTTGAGTGAAACCCATGACTGTCTGGCATGTATGTCCATGCACAGCAGAGACGTGGTTTCAGTTTTAAAGAGGAGGAAATGCAGCCTGGTGAGCTTGTGTCAGTTCTGGAAAAACCATATGACCATTTAAAAGACAGAACACCTGGACCTGATGCGAGAGGTCACTAGGACATGGCAAGGATTCTTGAAGTCCTGACATGCAAACCTCTTGCTTTACTAAATTATTACACAGGAAGATCTGTGTAGTGCAAGGGTAGAAGGCACTTCATTTAGGTTAAATATTAAAAATAGGCCCAACTCTGATATCCTTGAGGTTTCTGGGATGGAGAAGGGTCGGTTGGATGATAGCGTAATTAAGATACCTTCATGGTTGACTGAACAAGAATGCCCCAAAGGAAGTGGATCACATATTCATTCATCAAACACTTACCTTGTTTCTAGTATGTACAGTGGACCTTAATTATTCAGTGTCAGCATGGGGCAAATGATATGCCAGAACTCTATTTTCAGTTCTATTCTGTTCACCATTTTATTAGTGTTTTGGTTATCATATTTAGAGGTAACAGAAGGCTAAAAGGGATGCCTAATATATTACTGCAATAAATATTCAAACATATCCTGAGAAGCTGGAAGTGATGGCACAAAACCAAAAAAATAAAGATGAACGAGAATAAATATACATGCCCTGCCCTTGGTTTCAATAGCTCAATTAGTCTAATAGCAGGGTTGGAGCAATCTGACTTAAGAATAGTTCATGTCAAAGAGCCAAGGAATTTTCTGTTTGACCATCCATTCAATATGAACCAACAGTTGGGTATGGTGCCTAAAAGCTGGCATAACTATAAGCTTCATTTTAAAAAGCACAGTATTCCCAATAATGGAATGAATACTGCAGGAGCACACGGCGCTGGTAAAGCCACAAAGTCCTGAGGCAAGGGGACACCAGCAGGCATGCCCAGGGTGGAGCGATGGGGTTAGGGAGGTCTGGACCCAAGACAGGTAAGTAACAGCTGAGGCAACTGAAGATGTGTGGCCTGGGGGACAGAAAAAAGCCGGAGCAGAGGTGCAATGCTCAGATCTATAAAAGGGCCCTCCGTGGAAGGCAGGAGAGCAGAACTGACCTCCAAATTACATTGATACACAGTTGACCCTTGAACAACACGGGTTTGAACTGCGCAGGTCCACTTATACGGGGATTTTTGTTTCAATAAATACCTGCAGTACTACACCATCTGCACCTGGCTGAATCTGAGGATGCAGAACCACCTACACGGAAC